AATGTTGGGAGTTGTCGTGTGCAGTTGCACATAAGCTTAAAGACATCTAACTTTATACATATTACTTTACCTCAATAATTAAAGCAGACACCTCTGTAAAGAAAACACTTGGTTCTGTCCCTTTGGTGTCTGATTAAAGGAGGGGGAAGGGGAGGGGGCAAAGCCGCTGTCAGTAAAGCCTAACTATATGATAAACCCTTTCTTTTCAAGAAGTGATTGAAGTGTCCAATTCAACAAAAACTTCAAATTTAAATTTTTAAAGAGTTTTTACACATAAGTCTGGAAAAAACCATTAGTGTGCCAGCGCCATGTGAAAGTAGAGTTGAAGAGGTCTCATTTGAATGGTTGCACGTTTTTCGTCGGTATCATCATTTTTTGGGTCTCAATGGTCTTGTGGGGTCTTCTGATTCTTGAATTTATAAAAAATGGTTTCCTACTTCTTATTGGCATCGTTGGTCTCCTGTTTCTGTGGTTCTTGTAGTTCTCAGAGACTGGTTCATGTACTTGCTGTGGACGATCTCAAAACCCAGGAGAACTAAATGTACAAGAACCAGGATAACAGGAAGAGCCATGAGAAATACCAACCATGAGAATCGGGAAAACCAGGCAAAACAGAGAGCCACAGAGCAAAGGAAACTAAGAGAACTTGAGAGCCACAAGTACCAGAGACTCGAAGAAGCAAGGGAATCAGAACCAGAATGTTGGTCAAAGTAAATATGTCAATTATCATCACCTGTCTCTACTAAATCTTATGGAAGTGATTCAAAAAACTGGTATTTAGCTAGTGGTAGCTGCTGTGCCTAGAAAAGTGAAGGGACATAAAGTAAGTCAGTAGCCATTTTATCGTGCATTCACTTTAAAAAGATAATCATCAGTAAAACCTGCAAAATGAAACAACCTTTTTAAAGACAAAAATATCAATAGTGCATGCAGACAGTTGAACGTTGTAAGAATAAACTATTCTCAAATAAAATGGAATATATTATCTTTGTCTCCTACAAATAATTGAGAAAAGCGTGATATCACTTTACCCTGGTAACAAGATTTCTGGATCTCAGCAGTCCTTCTTTGAAGACAGAGATGGCCATTTTATGATTTGCGTTGTTGAATGATGAAGGAAAAGTCCTAAGTGCAATCATAGGAAAGTCATAGAGTCGTATTTTTTTCTCTCATATAATTGCAGGGCCACAGTTTGTTGAGATCCAGGAATTTTGGTAGTAAGCATGGCAACATGACATAATGACTTCTCTTTGTTGGTGCTACGAAACAAAGAAAATTCTGACTCAAACAAGGTCTAATGCTTGTTTAACCACACTAGGGACAAATTTGGTTTGATTTTCAAGCTATTTCAAAAACATGTAGTATACATACTTACCGCTAAGCAACCAGCTTCTACAATATCCCCCGGATGAGGTTTAATTCCTTCATGATTTAATGAGTTGCAAGCATAGCTTGAGAAGACATCTTCACTGTAAACAAAACAAGCATGGAATTTAAACAGCTTTACGTGGCATTGCATCTATTGTGCTACAAAAATGAGTTAACAGTTGAGCTCAGTTGGTTTGGAATAGCGGGCCTAAAAATAATTTTTTTCCTTTTAGAAAGGGCATAATTGTGTCCAACTAGGTCACCATTTTAGCCAGGCAAACCAGAAAGGTTGTCAGACATCCCCACTGAACTCAATTGATGAAAAGATTAAAGCTGTTTCTCTTTCTCAATTTAAATCAAAATTAAAACAACATTATCTTTCGCTGTAATAATATTGCCAATTATCTTGTACTTCGTAACTTCCATCCCACTTTTTCAATCTTCTTACGGTAATATGCGCTACTGTGTGTGTGTATGTGTGTGTGTTTGTGTGTATACAGTCTGATATGCTACCATATTGTACCCCGCACAATAAACTTTAAATTTTTAAATTATCTTACTGAATCTGGCTTCTTGGCATTTTAAACTTATTAGTTATTGCGGGAAGTCAGTACCCCTTTAGTAAATTGATTAATTTAACAACTTGTAAATAACTATAATATTCTGCTTCGGGTAGAAGAAAAATTGTTGTTGTTGTTGTTGTGAAACCAGTACAGTCAAACCCTGTTATTTTGGACACTGAGGGAACCATAGAAAATGCCCGTATTGATGAGGTGTCCATAATAAGCAGGTTGAATTTAGAGAAAATGTAAGGGTTTCTTTCGACGCCATCTTGACGAGTAGGCAAACGCGTGAGAAATTACAGCTTGTATGAGAATCCAATGTCGAATGATTTCCGTAAAACGGCTGTTCTGGAAAAAATATAAATTGTAAACTAAAGTTAAATGTACACAGCAAAGGATTTTACTAACAAATTTTGAGGGCCGTTACTGTGCTTAAATTTGACATTGTGGGTTTGACATTAAATAGAAATAATGCATATGGCCATGTAGTAAATCAAGCTAGGTTTTCTACTTAGGTGTATAGCTAGGTCTATACACCTTTTAAAATTTCAATAAATTATCTAAGTTAAATAAGTTCCCTCCATTAATAACACAACTAAGCGAAACCTTGCTACATAAAAGAAAACCCAACCAAGAGTACAAACCTTCGACTTTCTGCCACAACGCCATGCGCCATCTTGTTGAGCTCCTCGTGTTCCTCGCTCGGGTTTTCAGTGCGATTAATTACAACCCGGCGTGGCGGAACAGGTGATTCTGGACTAGATAGAGCTATGGTTACCTTCTGATTATAGCAATTTAGAAGAAAAAGCCATCATTTTCGGTATTTTTATACTAGAATCCCTCTTGTGGTGAATTCTCTCGTTTCCCGCATTTTTGATTAAAAAAACCCTCCAGAAAAACCTGCCTTCTATTACTATTACTAAACCAATAAAAAAATCTGTAAGGCCAGCCCGATAAAAACTAGAAATAGTGCATAATGGCCATGTAATAAATCAAGCTAGGCTTCCGCTCGTGTGCATATACACCTTTTAAAATTTCAGTAAATTATCTAAGTTAAATACGTTCCCTCCATTAGTAACACAACTAAGCGAAACCTTGCTACATAAAAGAATACGCAACAAAGAGTCTTGTTGAGCTCCTCTTGTTCCTCGCTCGGGTTTTCAGTGCGATTAATTACAACCCGGCGTGGCGGAACAGGTGATTCCGGACTACAGAGAGCCATGGTTACATTTTGATTATGGCAATTTAGAGGAAAAAGCGGCTAAACTTCAGAATACCCGGCCACTGAAATATCATTCATCAAATTCTGCTACCGCCGTCCCACAGTCGACATACTTTACCTAATATCTGTATATAAACATCACGAAATATGCCGCAGGCATCGTGCGCGTTGGTGTTGACCTTGTTGGTCCTTGCTAACGCAGTCCCGCAGTCGACATAATTTACATACATGTATGATCGCAAAATACACGTTAATTGAACTTGATGAGTGAAATAAAAGCAAAATAAACGTGACATGAACTTGATGATTGAAGTAAAACTTTTGTACTTATGTATTACACGTTTTTAAAGTGTGTTGCGCGAAAGACAATTTCAATAAATGTGTCTATTCCCGTTCTTGTACACCAAGCTGTCGAGCCAGTAAATTACATTCCATACTCGTTCTATAAATAGTTAGGCCGACTGAGGAGCCTCCGAGCCCTCGAACCACTAAACTGTATACCTTACTAGTTCATTTGCTCGCTCTACACATGAATATACCTTCGTTCTTTTATCCGTGAGCCGAAACTAGCGCGCTACACATGAACAAAGCAAACACGCTACAGTTGCTCCTCTCTTTTACGCAGTCGCAAATAACAGAGTGCACATATCGTATGAACAACAAATATATTCAACTTCCTTTGCCTTAGTTACATCATAGAATCTACTTCAAAACATTATTTTTAATAGTATCAACTCCGGGTAAAAATAATGTCCACGACGCGCTCATAGTGTCTGATACATCCAAGACGCGTGAGTCAAACGCACCTGAGCGAGTCACGAATATTCCTTGCACATACACCTATTCGAATATTTTGTAACATGCTTTGAAAAGTTAACGCTTTGTTGTACTGGTGGCATACACTTTCTTTACATCATTCAAAAGTACACTAAACAAGTCTTCATCGCGATGCATGTACCTCCAAATAAATTCCGCCAAATATGTCGAGAAAAGATGCTTTCGAACGCCAAACTTAGCTATTTTTACACTCCAATCCCTCTTGTGGTGAATTCTCTCGTTTCCCACATTTTTGATTATTACCGCCATACCTTGCGGGCGCAAATGAACCTAGGCCCCAGATCGTCTGTGATCTGTGTCTGGGTTTTCGATTTCACCCTTCTCCCCCACCCTCCTCGATCTCCATAATTCTTCATAAGATACTCAGCCTTATTCATTAATTGTTAATTAATTTCTGCTAATAACTTTCTTCTTGAATCTATTACCGCCCCGGACGAATCTTCAATAGTTTCCTTTCATTTGCAATATTGTACCACATGCAACAACCACACTACGCTTGGGCTGCCTGTCAGATCAGCTGGCCTTCCCTTTTTTTTGCGCGCGCGCGTGTAAGAGTTATGGCGGTGAAGCTGCGAGGGAATTTCAAAACGTCTCCTCTTCTTCCCCAAGGTGAGCGGCTTTGCAGCTCCTCTGCCAAAACTCTGTGCCCGCTTATGGTCCCGCTGACTACGCAGGCTGCAGATTGTGAAGAAACGAAAACAGCTAGCGTGTGACCGCTAAATGATTTGTTTTTATTTTTACGTGAGAGATAGAGGAATCTAAAAACAGTCTTAAAATATAAATACGGCCCGCTATGACCCAGGCGTTTTGCAAGAACATTCCTGGGTAAAGGGCTCAGTCCTGACTAGATCCCAGGTGCCTTACTGCCAATACGGATCTTGTTATGCTTCTACTTCTACATCCTATTCAAACGTTTTAAGATTACTTTCTCGATATGATCATTACTGGTTAACTGTTTATACTCGTTTGGTCTGAAATTGTCTAATTACTGGGGTAGCTCCTTCTCCATATTAATCACCACTAGCTTCAGGGGGCACGTTGTAATACGGATGATCTTCATTATGTTTGTTTAAATCCAAGTATGGTGCATCCCTCTGCATTATTACCTCCAGTTTTTCGATTAGTTGATAGAAACTGGGACGAGAGCGAGGTTCCTCCTTCCAGCAGCCTGTCATTAGCTCATATCTGTTATGGATAAAAAACAAACAAACAAACAAACAAACAAACAAAACAAAAAAAAAGAAACCAATTGAAGTTAGTCAAAGTTCCAATCCATTATTACATATATATTAGACATCGTTTCTCCGATTTAGTGGAAGAGTTTTCCTTTAGACCAGCTGGGAGCCACTCACGCCGGATCATTAGGCTTGTCTGTTTCTTGCCACGCCTGCGAGCAAGCCCTCCATTTGGGGGATCTCGATCGTTAAGTACACGCACGGGCGGCACTCGAGAGGAAACACGACAGCGAGGGGCCCCCCGCTCGCGCGTTCTCGCGCGATTCTTTTCCCTCGCCCAAATGGAGAGCTTGCTCGCAGGCTATTTCTTGCCCTGCTCCTCACCCATCATAATGCCGCCACTAAATTGAATATGAAGAATAAAACATAAAGCGTCCATAGCTTGTCAACATTGATTCTCTGTTTTGTCTGACAAGGCGGATGGTTTTGGTGAATAGTCTGCTGGAAATGTTGTTCAAAGTTTTCAAGTTGAAAGAATTAGCCAACTTCGCCAGCTTTTACTTAATGAAGCTGATATCAGGTAAGAGAAAGAATAGCTACAGTAGTTTTAGCAACAACCATAAGGAAATATCGAACATGGATAAAAAATCCTTGCAGTCGATCTCTGATAATACCATCATATTACGATACGAAACAAATATTTAAAGACATTTAAGCTAAGATTTTGCCGTCCGCCTGTTCAGTAATCAATTTGATCTAAGAAAACGTCAAAATCGCCAACCGACTTGTCTTCTGCAACGTTCACCGCTATTTATAACTAAAAAGACGCACGGAAAAATCGAATCTAATTGTTAATTCTCAGACGATTCTGATCAAGAAACGTACACATCATCGGAGCACATGTCAGGCCTTTCCATGCGATAACCAGTGCCAAGCAGTCGATACAACTCTGAGTTGGTCAGCGTGGGGTATGGTACGCCTCCTGATCACGTTGTGCGAAAGAAAAAATATACATGTTATTACTCGAAAATACGGATCATTGTACCTTGGATAGCTTTCTATTGGAAATGTCAACGTCCACGGCTCTTCATACTCCTTGCACTCAATAATGCCGTTATACAATAGAATAGTGATCGAGGAGGGGTCAGAATTGCATTGAAATGTGTATTCAAAGAAAACAGGGTGCTTAGTCATAAAGCTCTTCCTTCCACCAGGAAACAACTAATGCGTGAATATTTGATGTCGATTGTCACTTATGATCTCAGACATAGAGCCTAGTTCAAAACAAAGAGTCTAACTTGCCACAAATAAAAGTCATCAGGTATCAGCCTGTTTCCTGGTAACAATAACCTTATTTAATAAGGACTCACTCTTTTAGTCCCAGTGTCTTCCTTTGATATCAGTCGCACAATTCAAGTCATATACCCCGTGGCAACAGGGAGGAGAGTTCTTGGGATTCCCCTCCCCTTGGAAGTGTACATGATTAGTGTGTGACGGTCTACTCACCCAATGTAGCCATCTCCCACAGAACAACACCAAAAGACCAACTATAGAGAAAACCACAGAGGTCGTGAATATTCCTACTGCATTAACACTATTTTTCTTCTCTTCTTTTTACTTGATGAACTTAAGGAAAAATGGCGTGTCTCCACCTTTCCGTGCCTTCGCGCTTGACTGAACCCTATGACACCAGGCCTCAGCTGCTCAAAGCCCTTAGCCAATGGCCTAGCAAGGTTAATAGAGTAGGGAAAACAATACCAATTTAGGTGCCGGGTCTGTCGCATAATCGTAAACTTCTCCCGGCAAAGAGAAAGCTTCTAAATTATCCTTACATACACTCTGAATTAAGAATTCAGCAGACGCCGCTCTCGCTAAAAACTTTACAGACTATCAACTATCATAGTCCTGAGTCGAAATTATGGTGACAAGTACGAAATTACCCACGTGCACTATAACCACTGAAATTCTAGATCGGTTTGAAATAAACTCGCTGATCTCGATCCCGACCTTTAGGGAAGCTGAGGTTTTCTGAGCAGTAATTTATCGAAATGTGTTTAAAAGAGTGGGATTCTTTTATACTCACACATCACTTGTGGTGGTGTAAAGGCCTTGATAAAGTGATTCTGGTGCCATCCATTTCACAGGAAGTTTTTTGGACTTCCTTGAACTGCTCACATCTTCATAGATTTGTCTCATCAACCCAAAGTCTGACACTTTGATTTGGTTGTCATGGCCAACAAGAACATTACGGGCGGCAAGGTCTCTGTGAACAAGATTGTTTTCGGCGAGATGATTCTAATTTTAAGAAGGAGAGAGAAAAAATGAAAATAAGTACCATTAAACTTCGGTTACGCGGCTACTATTGCCTAAAAAGGCATAGGTGAAGCCGTGAAAATTAGGGGCCAAAAATCAAAAGTAAAATATCGGAACTGAACTGATCTAAGCGGCTGATTCAAGTTCATACAAAACATGCCGAATTTGGCTCGATCGACAATGACAATTTCTCTACTACTAAAAACCATTAATCATGTAGAAAATTAACTTATTTATCCTTTATTTCTTGCTTGTGGAATAGTCTTTGACAACGTAGACTGTTCACAGTCCCCTATGTTTTCGTGAGATCGTGTAGATATAGCGCGTTTTACCGTCAATGACGACCATCTTGATTTTCACATGTACCGAGGGGGCGGGCCTCGGGGATTAAGGCCCTAGTGGGGGGGAATAGAGGGACTGTAATAACATCACTGCAGCTCGCGTTCACGGAGCGCGTTGTACCAGGAACTCAGGCGTTTGATTGGTCATTAGACAATAGATGTTAATTTGTTCATTTGCGTTAACAACGGGTTTAGTTTAACTTGCCGACACTTACAAGTCGTTGGCAAGTCGAAGTTTCCATAAAACGCACGCTTTCATACCATAAGGCACATCTTGAGCAAACGCACGAAGGATTTTTGGTATTTTGCGGATGAATCACGTAAGCCAACATGCTTTTGAAGCAGCCCGGCCAGGGGAATGTTGTAACTTAGTTTCTGCCAAACGAATCATTAACGCTACGTCGACGCAAAAAAGACGACTTGTCAGAAATGCCTGGCTTTTTATCGGGAGGTTTAACCGTTTTAATCTGTGGTGAAACGAGCATGCTTACCGCTTCGATTAGGAAAATGTTTCTCTTGTGTATGTGTGCCAATTTTATTTGGAGGAATGGCCCAGAAACATTATAAAACCACTGTTTCGAAAGGAGATATTTGTAAACACGCGTAATCGATGCTAAATGTGTCTGGCATGTTTTTCATCACCAGTGGAGTTTCTTAAATAATGAATGGCTGTCACGCCCCCTGAACGCGAGCTGCAGTGATGTTATTACAGTCCTTTCCTTTTTTTCTCGCTTCCTCCCAAACCGCCCCCCGCCCCCTAAGTAGTTTCGACACTCATTGAAGATGGCAGCCCGTAACTCAAAGCGCTCGATCTCGACGATCTTACGGAAAAAAAGAGGACCGTGAACAGTCTATTGACAACGATTTTTGAAGGATGTAAACAAAATCTGAATCGAAGCAACGTTGCTCAGAAAATAATCATATAGTATTTACCATTCCTTTAGCAATTTGCCACGCAAATAAAAAGAGTTGTTTGGTTCGAAAGTTCTCCTCCTCGTCTTCTTCATCACTACTGACATCCTCGTGTATGCTTTCGATTACAGGTGGCATAGAGGGTGAAGGCTTCGCTTGACTTTTTCCTGTTGCGGCTTTGCTGCTTAGTAGTTCTTTGTCCTTTACTTTCCACTCTCCGTCCTTAGGGAAATTTTACAAAAAAAAATCGTTAATGGTCTAGTTTAAACAACTCGAAGAAACCGAATAGATCGAGTCAATCGCTAAGACGCAGCTTTCGCTCTACTAGAACTCGGCCAGCCGCGAGGTCTGATCGAGATCATGCAGCCGCTTTTTTCAAAGCCTATAAAGCCCTTATGGACCGCCATTCTCCAGGCGTTGTGGTTTGTGGCGAAGGTTTCCCATCTAAGAGTAGGATTCGATTCAGTTTTTTGTTTCAGGCCGTCTTTCAACCTCTTCAGTGGGTGTCCAATGCCATGTGCATCGCTGGCGACCTCAAAGAAGAAGACCATCTTCGGGAGGTGAGGGTCGTCCATTCAAACCACATGTCTAACCAACCGACAGACCGTATAAAAGGCCTTTGTCAGGTGCACAAAGAGGATGTACAGGCTCTGATTCTGCTCGCGGCTCTTTCCTTGATCTTTCATACGGCGAATATTATGTCGATTGTCCCTCTGTTTGTCCTGAAGGCACACTGACTCTCGGAGACGAAATCATCCAGGAGGGGGTGTGTGATACAACTCATTATGATGCTTGCCATGATCTTTCCTGGAATACTCAACAGCGAGATGCCTCTGTCGTTGTCACAGGATGCTCTGTCATCGTTGTTCTTGTACAGGTGGTGGTACAGGTGACCAAAATAGCATTGAAACGAGAGGTTGTGACGTAATTCAAAAAGGCGCACGCGCAGAAATAGTACAACAACGACGAAAATAGCACGACAGTTTTCGTAACACAGGACCTACAGCTACTATTATGTTGCGTTCTCCTTTAGTCGAAAGTAAAAATTAAAACAGTTGCCAATTTATTTCGGTGCCCCCCCCCCTCCCTTATATAAGGGACTGGATCCGGCACTGCACTAAACCGTGAAGTCGACATATCTGGGGACTTGCTGAAATTAGAGGCAGATCCCAGTAGAGCTCCTCAGTAGATATATGATCTCTCCAGCTTATGTTCAGAGCAGCGCGTAGCCACCTTGTGTAACAGCCATCAATTTGTTCTTCCAGTGCGGCAGTCAATGTCCAACTCTCTGACCCGTACAATAGAACAGATTCAACTGAAGCTCTAAAGAAACGTATCTTCAGATCTCTGTTGCGGTTCGATTTCCACACCACTATTAGTTTGTTCTTAGCGGCCCAAGCTTTTCTTTTATGTATCTCGAAGTCTTTCTTCGTTTGACCTATCCAAGAACCTATGCACTTGAAATCGTCCACTTACCTTGGCCTTGAATTGTCTAGGGTAGTAAGGTCGCCCTGTGTCGGAGGTTGTAGGCCATGTATTCAGTCTTGCCGATAGCAGCAGTTTCAACTCCCTCTAGCAGTGATTGGGCTTTATCCAAGTCATATGAAACCAATGCGATATCGTAAGCAAAGACTGTGTCAGTGACCACAACTGTGGGACAGCGACGACTTCTCTCCCTCAGTGTAAATCCAAGGTCTTCCTAGCCTTTAATTGCGGATCTCATTGCGTAGTCTAATGCTATGATGAACAGGAACGGAGCTAACGTGTCACCCTGTAGTACTCCAGCATGGAAAGCAAAGAAATCTGTTTATCCATCAGGTGAGCAAACTTTGGCTTCAGTACTATGATACATCGACGCTCTAGCCGAGACTATTTGATTTGGGATGCCGTAAGCCCAGAACGTCAAACATTTTGTCTCTGTTCACCAAGTCAAACGCCTTTTTGAAGTCCACAACGATAAGAACCGCTGTTAGATTCTTGACCTTTATGCCTTCAAACAATCTTCGAAGAGTAAGTATCTGAGCAAGTGTTGATCTTCCTGGTCGGAACCCGTTCTTATTTGTGCGCTGCAGGGGGTCTAAATGGGGGCGGATCCATGTTAAGAAGCACTCTATTATAGATCTTAGCTGCTGTTGGAATTAGCGCAACACCACAATAGTTCTGAGGTTCAGTGGGATCGCACTTTTTCGGTGCGGGGTTTATAATGCTCTTAGACCATAGCTCAGATTTTCCGCTACCTTCAAGCATCATATTACACACGTCTAGCAACTGGTCATTGAGTGAGCCACTTTTCTATACTTCAGCTGTGATTTCATCTATGCCAGGTGCCTTATTGTTGGCTAATGTGTTGTCGATGGTATTGAGTATTCCAAAGTGAAGGCACTGGTTGCTGATAGGACGAGTATCCTGTACAATTTACTAACTGGGTTCCTGTCTTCGGCCACAGGTTGGCCTAAGACTGTGGCAAAATGGTCCCTCCATTTTTCCAGCCTCACTTCAGCAGTTTCGCCTTTAAGACGACCTGTAGCTGACGAGGTCCTTCCCGTTATCTCATTAAATTAATAGTATCCCATGCTCTTTTTGCCTGATTCTGCACTGAAGCGTTTTCGATCTCAGGGGGTTTCTGGGCCAGACATTCCACTTGTTCGCTGTCATATGCCGCTTGAAGTTCCTCTTTGGCTTGTTTTAGGTAGTTCGGGGATCGTTCACATTGTGTTTTTCCTCAAGCTCGTACAGGGCCTCAAAGTGATTCTTAACTTCCACAGTATAAGCCTCTCTTACGGAATGGCTGGTGCTAAAACAATGCCAGTCGAAACTGGTACGTTTGGCAGTTGTTTTCCCATTGGCTCGCAAACTGAAGCGTAGTTTAGTTAAGACAATTTTATGGTCTGAATATACTGTACTGAAAGAGTCATATGCCTGACAGTCTTTGACACAGTTCCTCTATTTCCTGTTTACCAGTATATAATCAAGTTTGGCTTTGCAGCCATTTGGGTACATGAACGACCACAACTTTTCATTGCTCTTTTGGAGGCGTGTGTTTCAAATTATAAGCGCACATGCAGTAGCCATATCCAGCATAAACGTCTTTTTTCCAAAGCTAAACCCATTACAGTCTAAGGGACTGATTTGTGCATTCATACTGCACTACATATGATCTTAAGGTTATCCAGGTAGCTTCTTTATTACTTTAGAGAGAGTGTTGTAGAAAGCTAGAGCATCGCTGTTATCAGAGCATTTCGTTGGACTGTAGCAGCATATAATAGTACGTAGTAGCAGGGTTGCCATTAAAGTTTGCCATAATGATCCAGCTATTCTCTACTACAGCATTGCCCTCTAGGGATTTGTAAGCAGAGAGGCTTAGTAGCATACCCATTCCTCCCCCACAACTGTTCACGGACTTCCTCCTACACGAGGAAGTGGCCAAGATCCAGCCTTTGCCGACATCAGTATAGTGTACGTCCTCACTATCGTGAAATTTTCGATGTTCCTGCAGACAAACAACAGATTTTTCTTTCTCCTCTGCCAGCGCGGTAAGCTCTCCAATCTTCTCACTGGAGTTGAGTGAACGGATGTTAAAAGTTGACACCAGAGTGTTTATCTTGCATCTTAGGAGTCTTCCATTAGCTGACTAATCAACTGACTTATCAACATGGTTGCACACTGGGGGACGCGGCCCTTGTTTACCCTGGCGACGGCCGAGCCGGTATGTAGGGATGTTTGCAGTGTTCATCAAATCAGTGTTTCAATGGCTAGGCTCACTGAGACAAATTCCAGCAAGCGATGCTGGAGGAGCGCCAGACCTTCCAACGGTGGGCTCGTTTTCTGTAGGGCTTGTCTCCCTTAGCCTGTGGCTAAAACAAAAAGTATACCAAGTACACCAAGTACCCGCATTACTTGTAGTAGTAAATATTACCAAAAACGTCTTACTTGATTTTTAGCGGAAGTTGAAGGAATCACTTCAAGAACGGCATCCTTGTCGCTTTGCTGTGCAATGTTCACTTGCTCCTTGTGTGCAGAATGTTCATCGTCCATACCCTCATTATTGAAGGCGAACCTTTGCTAAATGATTTTTAAAAAAGGCGATTAAAAAAAGGCGATTAATTCGTATGTAAAATTGTAACATTACATTGTTTTGAAGTAGAAGCTACTGTCTCTAAATAAAAATTACAATATGACACAAGTTTACGCAGTCTACTACCTTTTTCTTCTTATTATTGTATTTGCTTATAAAGTTCCCGCAGTTTAAAATCCAATTTAAATCATTATATAAAATCTTATTCACTAATAATTGTCTTCCATTAGTTTCGGGTACTTGAACTAAAACTGTGTAATTCGACTAATAGAAGACAGAAAGGAGGTGAATTTGTTCATTTAAAGTTCCACTGAAATAAGATAGAAATTATATTTTCCATTCTTCAGAAACCACGATATTTCATTCAATAACAATACTCTTTTGTTACGAGATATCTCTTCAGTCACTGAAGCGTCACCTTTCGCTTCGCCCAGTGCTCTTAAGAATGAAATATATCATGTTACACCTTTCGTATCGCTAGACAAGGCATCCTCGGAGAGCCAGAGGCAGTCAGTCGGGTCGGGAGAAAAGGCGCGACAAACAAAAAGTTTTCAGTCAAGGGCGGAAGAGTCCCTGGGTGCAGACACTTACCAAACCATTTCCAAACGGTCAAGCTGAGAGTGTGAAAAGAATGCTTTGTATTATTGTGCCCAATCGATAAACAGCATCTCCTGAGTTCTTTTGGTGTTTTCGTACACGACTGCTATTGTCTCGCCATACTAGTTTGGCTCGTGCACCAAAGAAATATACGCTGTCAGGAAACTTTCAGTGTGATAAAAAGCCCGTCCATGAATTCCAAAAAACTGCTACTGTCTACCCGAAAACTAAAACATGGAAACATATGTAAGGGTATATAAAAGATGCTTATCCAAAAATATAAACTTGAGCTTACAACACGTATTCAAGCTTGCATCTATCCTGATCGATCACGCCATCGTAAAAATCGTTTACGATATCTTGTAATTGGTCGTAAACAGAATGTTCTGGGAGAAAATTGGAACAGTCCTGCTGATAGCATCTGAAACGTCTTCCCAAATGATCCGTAGTTCCTCCGTTTTTGGTAAGGGCAAAGTAGGAATTGCCAACATTCCCCTTGCACGCAAAACCTTGGTGAAAGAACCGGACAAGTATGGCGCAATAGCCGTCGTGTGTGAACACACGAAAAGAGAATAGGAGCCGCTGTTCGCCCATTGGGCACAATAATACAGAGCATTTGAAATTTGCAATTTGAAACGGTCTGCTGAGAGTCGGTACCTAGGGGCTCTTCCGTTCGTGCTTAAAAACTTTTTCTCCCGACCCACCTGACTGTCCCTAGGTCTCCAGGGATGGAGACAAGGCCGCTTGTGGCTTAAGTGTGTTTATTAAAACTCTTACATCAGGGAGACTGTGAGTGGCTGACGCCATGTCCTTTGGGACGTCACTCTGGCGCAATGAGATCATTTCCATGGTGACCTGAGCCTGCTCTTCCTTTGCCGTTTTCTTCAAGAGTTTGCCTGCTTGTTTTTGCTACGAAGAAGGAAAGACCGATCAATCCACCCTATAAGAGTGTTCCACCCTCCCTCTTCTACCAACCCATAAAAAAGACATCGAACAAATTTTATCAGAGGGCATTAGACATAATAACTTTAATTTGTGGTGATTTTTACAGGCATGTGAACAATTTCAATGTCTAATACAATGAGCCGTCAACCAGACACAGAGGACACTGAACAACGAACGGTTTGGGGACTTTGAAGAATAGAAAAGAATAGCAGGGTCAAACAAAAATGGATAAAATATTGAATCAGTACAGTTTGTCAACAAGCCTATCTACCTGATGTCTGGTCTCTCCCTGATCTTTCAGAATCTCTTTGTCAGCATATGATCTCTCGGAGGTTTTAAGTTCGTTGATCTAGACATCCAGCAAGCAACATTATCAGTTTCGGAACAAATAAATTAAAAGACCAATATATCTGTGTGAATTTGTTTAAAGGTGCCCGCAAGGTTTTTGCTTGAACACGGGCAGCAAGCCGGAGAAACCAAAAAATTGCAGATAGCTTATCAGAGAGCTTAGGCCCAGACCTAATAGTGGGTGGGTGTGGGTTGGTGTGGGTGGGTGTGGGTGGCTGGCTGGCTTTTTTGAGTTAAAAGTAGGGGGAGGGCGGGGAGATTTTGTAACTTTGATATAAGATGTTCAAGCCAGAACGCAGTTCAAAGTCAAGGAATTTTTCCTGTAGGCTAGCCCACCCAGCCAAGTAGAAGCTGTGACTCATAATCGTAACACTACTAGCAGAGCTTTGGGGGAGTGAGTTTCATGGGTGGTGAGGATGAGTTCTTGCTCCTTGGACTTGGTTGTCTATAGAGTGAGTGCAGGCACCTTGTATCAAATCCAGTCAGATATATAACAATGTTAAAATATTTTCCCTTAAGGTCTGAGAAATGTCGAGAGAAAATATTTTCTCTTTGTAACAAAAGTTATAAAAAAATTCTTCTGATTTCAATAACAAGAATTTTATCGGGTTTGAAATTGGCATCTTCGCAGATGTGGATCAGCAGTAGTCCCAATACATGATAGGGCTGGTAGCTGGATAGTCATAAAAAATGGTGGTCTATCTTTTCAGAACATGAGAACACGCTGCAAGAGATTTCTTCATTTTCTTACCTTTTTTCTTCTGCGGCGTAGCCACGTCAAGAGGTCACCACACGGAACATATTCTATGACCAGCAGCATTTTCTCTTCAAGCGTGCAGCATCCAACCATGGATACAACGTTCTTATGTGAGCCTAACAGTTTCATTTGTTCAATCTCAAACGTGAACTCTTCTTTCTGTGTTTCAGATGGATCATCTAAAGACAATTGAATAAAACGATTCCGTCTTCTTCATTCTTGCGTTGACAGCATTGTTTATTCAGTGCTAGATTTTTATTTGCATGACAGATATTCATCCCTTTTTATCCGACACGCATCCCCCTATGCACAAAAGGATAGGTAGATTCTACCTTTTAATTGCATTTCACTTTAACAGTGACGTTACCACTCCACCTTCTTTAATAGCAGGCTCGGAGAGGATTGCTGGAACAGTCAGGGTGGGTGTGGCGAGCTGCCTTGAACCCCTACCCTATTTACCCTATCTCAGGCCTTAACCGTTGTTTTCGAAGGATAACAATGATAAAAAGAAAAATTGACAACACCAATACTGACCAACAGCGCCAGCCAGAAAAATCCAAAAATTTGGATTTTTTCCCGACTGCTTTGCTGTTGGGGTCTCAGAAAGATCCAAACGGGGAATGAAAATGGAAAGAATTCCTTTCTGCTGCATAAAAAGAACTGAACATAAGTTACAATTTCAAGCGCTTGTGGCTTTCTCTCCTTTATGTACATTAATTTTTTTTTTTTACCTTGTAAAACTTTGACAGCCACCAGCTGTGGTGCTTTCGGCTTCCTGGATAATACAGGCCACTTTGAAGTCTCGGTGACCAACGCCTCCATCTCATCACTCTTACTAAAGGTTGCTTTGTAAACAACACCGAACGCTCCTCTCCCCAGCTCTTCCTCGAATTCTATTTGCTCATGCAGTATTTCCCACTTATCAGAGGGTTGTGAATCAGGTGATCTGGATAAAAAAGACATAATAAAAGCTGGATTTTCGTCCACGAATCAGTAAGACAGATTAAGGTTGCGATTAATTAAATGGAGCTCGTTAGTAATCGTAATGATAACTTGGCTATTATCTGTTTAAGCACCATTTGCTCAACCTGAAAAACGTACCAGCGCTAAAACTTTGGCTTTTACACGACTGTTTTTGCAGACAAGGACGTGTAGAGAAACCGAGGAATAAGTATTGACCAGGAACATCGGAAATGCCTTCCCCCTCGGTATGTGTTTCTGCCAATTGACAATAAATTAGAAGACAAATTTTAAGGCGAACAAAATTGGAAGATAGGTGACAGTACGAAAGTGGCACTTAAAGAACTTTAAGATCACGTTTAATTTAAACGGGTCCGGACGTATGAACGGAAAAAGACTTGCTCAGCGCCGCATTTCGGTTACACGGGAACCTCGAACAGTTTTTCAACGGCAAATAGTACTGAAATTTGTTACGTTAAAGAATTTGCACGGTTACCCCGTGTAAAAGGGTTGCACACAGGAAAAGATTGAATCGTTCCTTGAAACATTTTTTTCGGACCCGTGTAAACGGGGTCTAAGAGAAAATTTTTCATTCTATTTAACACACGGGTAATTTTATTGTTGAATAAAGCTTCGTCCGACTTAACCATCCCTTGCCCTTTTGGGTACTGCTGAACACAGGCTCCACCACCCCATTTTTAAGTGAGAAAACGTCACACCATACCCGATTAGAGATCAAACGCCGCTTCTCGAAACACAAAAGAATGTAAGAAACATATGCCCAGGGCTTTGCAACCTCTTTGGGAATAGTTTGATATCGTGTTGATATGACAGATGACCCTTAGTCTAAGATAGGCTCAAAAGCGGTTGTCTGTAAAAATAAACAGCTGGCAGAGAGAGGAACCTCTGAAGAAAGCTGTGGAATTTTTAAAAAGCAACCAAGGAGTTTAACTTGCAACCTCCCCGTTTTCGGTTATTCACTCAGACTACCAAAAATTGGGTTTCTTTCTATCGAATGTTCGTGCTCAGGATCTTGGGCGTTGGGTCTAGGTTGCGTTCTCTCGACGTCGAACTCAATAATATTTTTTTACTAATCAAGTCAATTTTCAATTTAATTTTCAAGATATTCTTCTTCAGCATCTCTTCTTTTTTACTGACTTTTTTAGGTTTTCAGCCCCTCAGCTAAAACAAAATACTATATTTTTTTTTAACCTGAGTGACTTCTTTGTAACTGTCAATGGGTTCACGACGCTGTGTAAGTGTTCACGTGATGTAATCTAACCAATAACGTCGCGATAAAATTAAATGCTACGAAAGTAATATTTTGCTGAACAATGTGGTTGACAAATTAAAAGCTACACACACCTTTCAATAGTCTTTAGCTTCTTTCCTCTGTAGCACCAGACGAAAATAGCGGCGGACAGCAGCAAAAAAGCGGAGGTGAAACCAAGTGAGATGGAAATAACTTTAGAAATGGCGCGGGTCGGATTTTCGGGTTCAGATGTCGTGCTATTCTTAACTGCAAGGAAAGATATTGCATTATAAATGGCATAGGAAACATGGGACTATGCGCTGAATAAAAAAGGGTACATTAACTTACGAAAACTTACTTTAACTATCTTTAAATTCACCTCGCAGCTAAGCGAGGCTTTTCCTCCTTCACATCAGATCTAAACTAAACTAAACTAACTTCACCCTGTTTCGGAGGAACATTCAGGGGCACCAAACGAGGATATAGTTCAAAACCACTTAAACATAGCATTATTGTTAAACGTATTTTAGTAATTGAACGGTAGATATAGGCATATTTTTATCCCTAAAAAGTTTTCATCTGTTCGGATTTCCTAGCTGAAAGTCTAGTGATCCCAAAAACTTACTTTTTGGAAAATTTCAGCCAGAAATAAGGCTCCCGAAAATTCTAGGTGATATTTTTAGGGTAAAAATCCGTTAAAAACGGGCAATTATACCATTTTCAACTAAGAAATTTTACAACAAATGTTCCGAAAATTCTAGATCTTAAATCGTCTTCCGAACAGATATTTTCCGAATTGACGTTGGGTGCCTCTGAACACTGCACTGCGGGCCTTAACTGGCAATTTTTTAGCTTTGTTGTGTCCATTATACTTACTACTATTACACAGATATCCTTCACAACAGTGTAGATGTTGATCTTTTAATTGTTGGCATTCATCAGCGGATATACAGCCTTGAATGGTGACTTGTTTGCCGCTTGCCGTTGTATTGTCGTATTTGAAACAAAGGTTTTCTGGAAATGCACAGTTGACTGTCATGGGAACAGATGAGTTCCTGCTGGGGTACTCATAACAAACAGTACCTAAAGATAAATATAATGCAGAATTCGGAATTTTTAAACCATCGAGTATCTCGCTGACAAGGTCACTTACCTCAAAACCTGGGGCAAAAGCGTGAAAATACAGCTTGTAGAAAAGCTTAAGAGGCTGTCCGCGTAAGAACCGATAAGGCAAATTTCGGTCTATCACGGATTGCCCTGATTTTTTCAGTGGAAGATAACTATCCAATCACATGAAGAAATATCACATTTATTTGGACCAACTCAAATTTTTCTCTATTTTACAGCAAGATTTTCTCGGTCACCTAAAACTGGCCCGTTTGCCGTCAGAAGTGGTGCGATTTTGCTGAAACTTTAGGGCTCTGTCAAACCTACCTTACACAGCCGAATAAACTGATTATTTTACACACAAAAGTTTTAACTATGGTTAATAGTCTCAAGGTTTAATAGTTGCATTCTGTGGAAATTTAGCTGAGATATGATTTTTTTAAAATGACCTTTAATTTGCTCAGCAGGAAAAGTACTTTGCATAACTAGAGCTGAACGGTAATTTCGCAAAAGTGGCACCTGACCCAGACTCAAGTCTATGATAAATCAGAAGTACTAAGACCAGTCTTCTTCTTAACGCAATAAAATTTGTGGGCACTCTTCTCTGCGTGCCGTACAAAGTTCCGTTAATGTTCCAAAATTCGCCACTTTGACAGCAAAGCTGGAATTGTAACGGGTCCGCATTTGATCGACTAATTTCCACAGCTTTAACGTTTCTAGTTATCACTAAATGTCATTAGACCCTTTAAATGTTGGACGTTTGAAAACATGTGGAGAAAACTTAGTAGTCGCTTTTCCTTGGGTCTTTTTCTTGTCGACGATGAACGTTACTTCATTCTCCGTATGCAAATTAGCTTTAGATGCTTTTCAACAAATGGTCAGGAAATATAATCCTTACATTTCACATTTCTAAGGGGAAAAATAACTCTCCTTTCCACAGAAAAACACAAACCATTACTTAGACTCCCCTTAAGGTCTGTTTTTTTTTGTTAACGAGGAAGAAGCAGCTGAATAATATATCGTGATATATATGTTTGCGCGGCTTAAAATAATTCAATTACTGTGGCCTGTCACGCATTCCTTAAGAGGGGTGGTCGATTAGAAACCAATAGCGTTGTGTCGATCAATTCTATAACATTATCATCTTTTTTTAAAATGATAGTTTTTGATAATGATAAGAAATAAGAGTTCACTCGAAAATTTCTGGGCACTCTTTTTTGCGTGCCGTAAAAATAAAAAATAGCGTTAACCTCGAAAGCTTTATAATGATATTTGCTTATCAGGAGAAGGCAGATCTTTGTACATGGTACTATGATAAAAAAATGCCCCACACTTTTTCTGTCTTAAATTAGCAGTAAATTTCAGTTTCATTCAAAGATCTTTAAAGCGTTTATCGGCAGCAGAATGAAACGGGAAAAATAGTTCCTTTTTTCAGTCTGAATAAACGCAAAAGGGAGTATCTTTCTAGTTTTTGTTAGGGTATAACATCCGAATTCTAACGATGATCTTGTTTTGGTTTCAATCTGATTGAACTATAATGTTACAGTTTCAAATATAGTTATGTCAATGAAATCGCCGAAGAGATCAATTGTGAAAAATGGCTTTTTCGGCTATTTCATCAAGCAGTTCTTCCACGAGATCGTTGACAGAGTGAGGTCCCAGTAGGGGTGCAGGAGGAAAATGTGTTGGTCACAGAGTGCATGGATGATATTACGTCGCACTTAGCCAGCTGTCACTTGTCTAAGTTTAGCAAGTGTACCAAAGACAATGAAAATGAACTCATTTTAGCGAGAGTACGTATTCGAGGCTTGGTGGGTATTCGTAACTGAAATGACAATCTGCCCAGGGCACAGACACCTACTTGGCAGGTTTTTGCGATCACCAAGATCTTGTTAGGCTCGATTGTAAGCCGCTGTTCTGGAAACTGAGCCCCCAACGGAAGGGGAGACGGCGGAAATCGAGCCTAAGGTCTTGTCAATACCCCGGTCACACTCTGGATCATACTGGCAAAATAACTTCTGTGGCAGGAAGACATCTCGTAAATTTCCAGATAGCCAGCGAAATAAGTCAAAGTTTTGTTCCATCACGTAAGTATCATTCCTTTTTCTTCTTCGTGCCAAAAAGTTTCTTAACGTATAGAGATATTCTAATTTCTCTATTTAACATTTTATCTTGCGATGTTTTCTGAAGTTCGTTTCCAGTTTATTTGAGCTTGCAAAGATAGTTTTTGTTATTTCTATTTTTTGACAGCCGTGTATCTTGCCCTAATCAATTCTCACCTTTAAAATACTATACATACCGGTGAATCCGTGTGTTGTAAAAGATAGTTTTCTGATGATTGTTTGAAGAGCATTATAAATGGGAAAAAAAGAACTTTCTTCACGGAGTCAGGATTCAACCTCGGGCTTTCCCGCCCCTGCCATTTTCTAAGAGAATGTCCTGGGGACGAGGCTAAGAGTGATTGTGGTCGAGGTGTCGTTCACGTGTATGAAAAGTATTTCATTCTTGCAATAAAAATAATTTTTTTGAACTTTTAAAAAACAGTGTTTACAACATGTCTCTGATTTTGTAAAAATTAGTGAGACTTCAAAGTACCTTAGTGTTCAGTTCAACTTTATATAGCCGATTTGCTCCTCCTGTCGCAAGAAACTTGAAAAAACTTGACGCCGAAGGGTCGAGAAGAGTACGATTGAACAGGCAGCAACCATGTCCACACATTTGCCGGAGAGGTTTATTGGACAAGATTTCTCTGTTTTTCTTGTTTTGATAACGTTTTCAGTCTTCAAAAATGCCTCCAGATTGCTGTTTTTTTTGTATTTATACCCTCTTGAACAATGTGCTCCATCTCATCTCGCCATTTTTAACCTACTTTACCATCCACCCTCTCTCCCCACTGTTCCACCTCTACTTTTACAAGCATTTGTACTTAAGGGGGTGAAATTTCTCCCGTATATATTAATTTCTGAAAAATTAAGTCCTTCTACTTTTTCCTTAAATTCTTAAACTTAGTTCTTTTTTCTTTAAGAATCGCCAAAGATGCTGCTAAGGCTGCAACAAGCGCACTCGCCCTTTTATATACTTCATCTAGTGAAATGCCCACCCTTTCATATACCTGAAGCCTAAAAAAGATACTCCTTTCGGGGCCGAACCTCCCCGTATAGGCCATCATAGCGAGTTCCCCCCACCCCCGTACCAATTACGTGCTCACCTATTGCCAGCCCATGTTGGACTCTAGGCCCGTTTGAGTCAACACGTAAACATAGTCCTAAGTGTATACAAGTTGAACTTGACCATAGAGATCTGTTGCAAGAAGACGAGGAGTTCGAAAGGCAAGAGCTTGTTGCAGAAATCGCTGAAGAATATTGAGACCACAACACCCTCAACCAGAAGCTTTCAACCTATGTGTATGTCAAAGGATGAACAACCTAGTCAGTTCAACGTGGTAATGCTAAAAAAATCTTGCGTCACTTTAAAATGCCATTCAAATCCAGTGAAAGAAAAGGAGACCTAATTGACAAACTTTCGTCTCTCATACAAGATTGCACGTGCTTTTCTCCATCAGCTCAGGAGTGAACATAGGGATCCTTAATTTAGTGTGATTAACAGCCGGCAAAAACGTTTGGGATTTAACAGGAGACGGACCGTTAACAATAACTACCGTATTTATTCGAATAAGCGCCCAACCTCGAATTAGCGCCCACCTCGAATAAGCGCCCATCCTAGAGGCAGAAAAAGTTAACAAGCGCCCAGCCTCGAATAAGCGCCCACCCCACCCCACTCCCTCCCACAAAAACTCCAATAAGATATAATAAGAGACCCTCCCGAAGAAGGAGTTTTCTTCAGGGTAGTATTGTACAGAAACCTTGCTTTGTTACATCTTCCCTTTTTGTTATTAGCATTTACTGTTTTGTTGCAAAATATACGACTACACTTGCTGAGAATGGTGAAATTTAATAAGCGCCCAGCCTCGAATAAGCGCCCACCTCCAATAAGCGCCCACTCTCAAGGTCCAAAAATTTAATAAGCGCCCAGGGCGGTTAATCGAATAAATACGGTATGCCTGTTTCTGCATGCCATTTCTCATTTTTACTCAAATGTTGTTAATTTGCGATAAACACAATGCTCTGTTATTACCACCATAAAGTTTGTAGGGTGGCCTATAGTTAGCTAGGGATCTAGGAAATGTGTATGCTGCTTAAAGGACTTGGCAGGTGTGGTCCTGTGGTGTCGCACGGTATTTCTGAAGTTGTTTGCGAGCTATTTCCAAAATATTAATTGTTAATTCTGAAATTGAAAATATTGTACTAGTGCTCGTGAATAAGAGTGGCAGTGTCCAAGTGACTACTTTGTAGCTAATTGTCGTGTATTACACCAATGGCTGTCATATTAAACCCTATCCTCACGGTGGCTCGCGGGGATACTGACTCAGTTAAAACGGTCGTAGAATGAATAAATACAACAGCACGGTATTTCCCACCCAGTAAAGAATCGGAATTAACAGTGATTAAATTGTATGATTATCAATAACTATCACTTCAAAAGAAATATAATCAGATAAAAGAACTGATCGATACATGGCCACTCTCGGGGAATGCGTGACGGGCGATAATAATTAAATTATTTTAATTCGCTAAACATATCCTCTTCTACTGCTTCTTCCTCGTAAAAGAAACAGACCTAAGGGGATTTTAAGTCATATATTCGTGTTTTTCCGTGGAAAGAAGAGATGTTTTTCCCTTAAACATGTGACATATAAGCAGTTATGTTTCCTGTCAATTTGTTGAAACGACGCATCTAAGGCTAATTTGCATACGGAGAATGAAGTCGCGTTCTGATCGTGGACAAGGAAAAAAACCAAGAAAAAGCGATTACCAAGTTTTCTCCTCATGTTTTCAAAATTCCAACATCTAAAGGGTCTAATGATATTTGGTGATGACTAGAAATGTTAAAACTTCGGAAATTAGTCGATCAAATGCGGACCGTTACAATTCCAGCTTTGCTGTCAAAATGGCGAATTTTGGAACATTAACGGAACTTTGTACAGCGCGCAGAGAAGAGTGCCCACAAATTTTATTACATTAAGAAGTAGACTGGTCTTAGTACTTCTGATTTATCGTAGACTTGAGTCTGGGTCAGGTGCCACTTTTGCGAAATTACCGTTCAGCTCTAGTTATGCAAATTACTTTTCCGGCTGAGCAAATTAAAGGTCATTTAAAAAAAATCATATCTCAGCTAAATTTCCACAGAATGCAACTATTAAACCTTGAAACTATTAACCAGAGTTAAAACTTTTGTGTGTAAAATAATCAGCTTATTCGGCTATGTAGGGTAGGTTTGACAGAGCCCTAAAGTTTCAGCAAAATCGCACCACTTCTGACGGCAAACGGGCCAGTTTTAGGTGACCGAGAAAATCTTGCTGTAAAATAGAGAAAAAATTGAGTTGGTCCAAATAAATGTGATATTTCTTCATGGGATAGGATAGTTATCTTCCACTGAAAAAATCAGGGCAATCTTAGCCTGAAATTCATCCGATTGCTTCGAGTCGTTTTCTCCTCTCAACAACGTCTGAATCGACCGGCCGTTAATGCCGTCCAGTGACGTCACTCACTACCCGAAAACCGGGTAGTGATTTTGATTGGTTGATTGTCTAAACATTCGCATAATTATGTATAATTATGAAAAATTTTAGCGGGATTGTCGCTTGATTTTCAGCGGATCGCATCCCTGGCATGGCATTCTTTCGTGTAGGTCAAACATTTCGATAAGCTTAATCTTTATCTTAAACAGCAAAATTGCCCTTGTCTTCGAAACTGAAATGCTAAATTGAACTGCGAATGAAGAATCCTTGCGGAGAGTCGGTAGGTTTTTCATTTAGAGCCGCTTTGTGGTTTCGGCGGCCGGTAATTTTGTTTACGCTAAGTTTTCTGAGAGCAATGTTATAATTCGACCTTCTTGCTATTTTCACCTTCAGATGTAATGATTCTGTTAGCTTTTCTTTCTTGTTTTCTTGTTTTTTTCTTCGTTAAGGACCAAATAGCTTCTTTTCAATTGAAGCAAATCATTGTGTTTTTGAACTAAGTGTTTCGTGTGTGTGTTTATTTCATTGCGTGATTGCGACCGAGTTTAATTATAGAATTCAGTACAACCGGTTCAGTGTTGTACTGCATGCAGTTGATAGTTTGAACGTTAAACATGAATTACGATCGAAAAAATAAAGCAATTCTGTATCATGCAGACATTTCCAAACGATATTTCTCGCTTTGCCACTTGAAAATCGTGTTTTACTTTTTACATGAATTAAAGCAAATGTCAAGGAGTAGTGACGTCACTGGACGGCATTAACGGCCGGTCGATTCAGACGTTACTGAGGGAGTAATAACGATTTGAAGTAATCGGATGAAATTCAGGCTAGGGCAATCTGTGATACACCGAAATTTGCCTTATCGGTTCTTACGCGGACAGCCTCTTAAAAGCGGAGCTTTTATTACACTCGAAGCCATTCACTGAAATTTGATAGAATTTAACCCGAAAATACTAAACGAAAGTTTGAGAGGAAAAACATATTACACATTTCGCCTAATTTTAGAGAAAAAGTAATAGAGAGATTAAGATTCACGTTTACCGCAAACGGTGTTCTGTCACACTTTGTAATACCTATCGCACTTTGTAATAAAATTTTCACAATTCTTGATTCCCACCCCAGGGCCTGGGGTGGGGATTTGAATTTTTTTAAAAAATTTGCAATCAAATTCCCTGCCCACGGGCAAATCATTCCAGTCAAATGCAACCAAATTTCCCCACCCCAGGCTGCACATTGCTGTCAATCCCAAGGCAGAACCCAAGAAAGGCACAATAAAAATATCTCCAAATAAAACTATGCAATCTTTTATAAACGCTGCTGCATCACCAAAGATAGATGTTCCTGTTACAGCTACAATTATACGTTTTAACAATAATCCGTGTTACACTGTATACAATACATAAAACTTCAGGAGAAAGTCCACATTTTGTAAGTTTAAAATACCGTTCTTAGTAAAGGGTACAAAGAAAGTCAGTCAGTTATAAGTTTACAGTGATTGTAGCGAGTGAGCCATACACTAATCAATTGTACTTGCAAAAATCGACTTGGTTTCTTGTTACTTCCGTTTACTTTGATACCACAGTATTTTAAGAGGTTCAATTGATAAAAAAAAACGCTAAAACAAACAAAACTTGAAGACAAAACAATGAAATCCACTCGGCCTTCGCTTGTTCTCATTGGCTTCCATGACTTTGTAATCTTTTCAAACCGTACGGCGCATGCGTGAAGCGTGGAAGCGGGAAAGATATGTTCGGTCTAAGACTTTTTCGTCCCAGTCGGCAGTCAAATATCTCCACGTCGGGTGAAGAAAGATTCAAATATCCCCTCCCCTAGGAGAACAAGATCCGTCAAATGCCCTACCCCAGGGCCAACAAAGACAATCAAATCCCAACCCCATGCCCTGCCTACCCCCCCTCCCCCCCCCGCCGGCTTTACATTGATAGGTGCATAAGAAGATAAAAACAGTCCCGAACGATTCCTATGGTTACAACTGGCATAAGACTACTTTTTTTTGTATAGAAGCAATAAAGAGTAAACGGAAAATAAGGGAGAAACTTGGTCGCGTGGTACAAATTCACGTCTGCCGTTTGGTGTAAACGTGAATCTTAATCTCTTAATTTTCATAAAACGTCTTATGTGGTTGTTGCTGTATGAATAACTAATTAGCTAAGAAGAATAGTGTTTTTCAAGGATCTCATTTTGAGCTTGGGCTACTTGTGCAATAACATGCTAAAAAGACCTTACTTCTAGATGTGGACGGTATAAAACGTACTTGTTACTGACGCTGGCATTTCACAAATATAGTTCTTTTGGTCGTCACAGTCCTGCCCCTCTTCTATCGTTCCACTGTCTGTCTTCATTTGCCAACATTTTGAATCACCTTTTCGGCCAATCCATACTTGCTTTTAATATAAAGGTATAAAAGGGATAGAGAAAAAAAACATAAAATGGAACAATTTACTTAAAAAGCCACAATTAAGGTGGTTGAAAACAGTTTGATCATTGGAGTGTCATTCAAAACTCGTTGAAGGTATAAGGTTCATATTTGGTATAGGCAGTTTAGACATAAGATTTCGAACGTTGCCATGGCAACAAGGATGTATCGAAAAACTGGCTAATTTTTTAATTTGGTAGGTTTACGCAAATCGAGTCGTTAGATTTCCTTATGAATGTTACTATTAAGAAATCCTATTTTTTTAACTCAACTTGACCAAATTGTAATTAACAATTAGTTTTTGACATTTTCCGGGAAATAGTTTCATATGAAAATTGAATGTTTCTATTGTTTAAAGTGTGATATTAAAAGGAAATCTGCAACATTTCGTCAAATTCTCTTTCGTCACGCCATATGACCAATCATTTTTCCGTTTCGTGATTTAAGCTTGAAGTGTTGTTAGTCATTTTGGAAAATAGTATCTGCCACAAATTTTGTATTATTGGTCAATCTTTTATGCTCTCGTTTCTTTTAGCAAAGTATAGTAGTCATTGTCTTAGTTATTCGCTAGTTATTCGCACCCGAGTCTTAGCCTTTATATTTAAGTTCTTTCCTTTCTTTACCTTATAAATGATGATTTCTCGGCCAAGACTTTTCTAAGACTCATTGATTAAAACTGATGCTGTTGCGGGAGTTGTCCGCCTGATGTAACTAAGGTCACTGCCATTAGTATGACAGTATGCAGTCACTTAATTATGATCACTCAGCACAATCAAATAAAGTTCACAGTTTTTGTCAAGAAGGACATCATTATTCAATCAAGATAGCATTTTAAATCAAGACTTCTCAGCTGATGAGGGGCAGAACAATTGGCTTTATATCAAGTTCACCAGTTATTTTGCCTGAATTGGGATGCTCGGAATGCACGAGGAACGATAAACGTACATCTGGTAATAATTCAGTTTGTGCGCTCAGCTTCCCAAAGAAACGTGAAACGTGGTCTTTTGAATATTATTTAGCTGCATAATGTCAAGATACTTTGCAGGGTTAGAGTTTTAGATCAGAAACTAATGAAAATGAGGTTATAACTGTCTACTGATTCAATTGGTTCTGTGTTAAAGATTACATAAAGTACTTGGGAGTTTATATAGATAAACATCTCAATTGGCAACCATAGATACAACATGTAAATAATAAATTAGCTAAAAATTTAGGAATCCTTTCAAAACTTAGATATTACATAGATCTGAATATACTGAAACAAATATATTATGCTTTAGTATATCCCTATTTGAGTTACTGTATTCTTCCTTGGGGATGTGACAGCAAAACCAGATTAGATTGTCTTCGTATTAAGCATAACAAATGTCTCCGCACCAACTTCTTTGCACATCCTAGAGAGAGTGCTGCTCCTTATTTCAAACTCCTAACAATCCTTGAATTAGAGAATATATATCAATTAAAAATATGTTGCTTTATACATAGAATGAGAAATGAGACCGATAGCATTCCAGATATTTTAATTGATGTCCTGACTCCAGCATCGCGTATACACAATCATAATACAAGATTTGTCAGTAATCTGAATTATTTTCGGCCAAGAGTATCCACCAACTTAGGTAAGACGTTCTTTAAATTCTCCGCTCCCAAAATCTGGGGAGACTGTACCGCCTGGTCTCAAGTGTCTGCCATATCATAAGTTTAAGAAAGAATGGAAGTCCTATCTTCTAATCAACCAAATCTGACCTTGCTTATATGTTCTATCACTGATATCATCTGAGATTTTACTTCCTGTTTTTACTGCTGCCGATTATTTCAACATGACGGTGTCCAACAAGAAAGCTCTTGCTACTTTGGACACTGTACACAAATTAACTTAATGTCCTTTAGTTAATTATTATTGTCAGCTACTTTATTTTCCTAGCTACCTACGTACACTTATGTAAATATCTTATATAGTGTGAAATAAAGAATTGAATTGAATTGAATTGTCACGAACTACACAGAAAATGTGATTTTGCCGCGTTCTTCTTTGAAATTTCTTATAATTATAATAAATTGCACGGGCCTTAAGAGCGGCTGTCTGTAAATATCGAGAATTTGCCGTCAAAAGGGAAATTTCGAAATTCTTCATAATCAGTCAGAAAAAACCCTTTGGGGAAACTTCTTTGAAAATCACTATCAAAGTTTCCAAAGAATTTTCTTTTTCGAGAAAACCGGCAAAAAGTGAAATGCTGCCCCACGCCATATAGTCGCCGGTCTAAAACCTTTGAATTATACCTTTTTCAAAGCCCTCGGGAAAAAAGACGGTTCACGGAAACAACTCAGGTAAATTAAGGCATGGGTCCCCAATGATTCAGTCAAAAAGTGATGGGGGTGGTCTATCTCTGAGCACTTAAGCAGTAGAAAGATGAGACTTTGCCAGATACATACATGTGTGGTTTCTGTCAATTAGGTGATTTTCAATTATGCAAATGTTGTCACGTGACTCCACACGGCCAAAAAACAATAAAAAGTCTTCAAACAAAAATGGCAACACTTTTTGTTGTGAGTTATTAAAACCGGACTGGTTTAGGACAATGTGTAATGCCAGCATCTACAACATTGTGCTTGGCCTTTTTTGACTTTTTTACTGCTTTAGAAAAAAAACGGCTTTTTCAACTAGACCCAGTCCCCCAAAGCAATTGAATCCCATCTTAACGCCTTCGATTTTAAATATCTAAAAAAGCCCAAGCACAGAAGTGATATATTAAAAGGCCTTAACATTATGCAACCGGTAAAATAATTGAGGACAAAAGAAAAAGTGTTGCCGTTTCAAGAACAAGCTTTTTCAGCCGATGGAGGTCACGTGACTTACTTTGCATAATTTTAAAGCATGAAATTGACACAAACTAAAAGTGTGGGTAGCTGGCAAGGTTTTATGTCTCTTCATCTAAAGCTCTTAGATATAGACCACCCCCTCACTTTTGAAGAGAGCAAATTAAGGCAAATTGAGGCCCATGCCTTAATTTACCTGAGAATTTCATCTCTGGCAGGTAAGTAAGGCATCCCAGTTACAATACTATTTGGTAAAAATATTGCAAGATAATGAACTTTCTACTCGGTTAAAAAACGCCCGAAGATTCCTATCTTCGACACTTTCATAAACAATGAAATTTTGCGAAACTTTGAAGGAAAAAATCACGGCTTGGTACATGGAATTTAAGAAGAATTGTTATACTTCAGTAAGGCCCTACTGTTTTAGTACAACATATAAAAAATCCAGCTTGGGCAATATAAAAGCAACCCGCTGAGAGAGGTAAATGCGCAATTCATTTTCGATGTTTTTGCATAAAATGCAGGTTAAAACCGTCACGCAACCGCGGGTAACACAAACTCCAAAAAATTGTCTTGACTCACATTTTTTTTGTGGTGGCCAGGAAAAAATAGTTTTTACTTGTAAAATCGAAAGATTGATTGAATCTTTTATTACTCTGGTATGAATTGACTAGTTAGAAAGTTAGATGTGGGCGATCGCAATGAACCAGCTCTGAAAGGTCAAGCGGCCGTTTCCATAGATGTCAACAATGCTGAGGAAAGTAAGGAGTCTTGTATCAAAATATATATATTTCGAAATTCAGTTTACTTGATATAAATTTTTTGAGTCGTGGTGTGTATTTTATGTATAGAAATTGCAGGAAATAAAACGGACTAAGGTTCAGACAAACATTGAATTGAATAAGTAAATAATATGCTCTGTCAAATGCGTGTCAATCTTAGCACCTGTGAGGTATGTCTCTTGATTTTGTTCTTAACTGATTGAAAAAGAAAGGTAATCCATATAAAAAATATAGACCGATCTTAAGCTATAGCTACTTTATTAGGAAAGGAGCATTTTATTTGGAGAGGCGGAGGGACAGTAGAGGCTGAGCAATTTCTTCCATAATTTTCAGCTGCTCTCATTCGCGACAACTGTACACGTATAGAGTGTTTTCACATGACATCACGGCGGCCATATTGGTGTCCCAAAACAATGAAACGGCGGCCATGTTGGTGTCCTAAACCAGTCTTCTGGGGGTTGAACTCTTTTCTTATGCAAACGCTTTCTTTTGTTCCAATAAATTTGCATAGATGCTGGCCACGTTAGTGAAAACACTCTATATTCATAGCCTTAAGGCAAGAGACTCATAGTCTCTTGTAGCCTTTTATCGCAGCCCATCGACCTTAGTACCTCTAGCAACAGTTGTTGTATTATATTTTAATATATGGAGTTAAACTTGAAACTGGTTCCAGATTCATTCAAAATCTGTAACTTCCCACAAGTTATAATTAGGCAAGCCTCTGTTACTTAACATTAACAATGGAACAACCGGCTTTCTCTGTTCTCGATTCAAATCTTTGTTGAAACAGAGGCAAACAGAGGTGGAAATAACTAACTGGTTAGGCGCGATAAAGATTTTCCGGTCAAGGGCATTTTTGCCTGGACAAGGGTCAGTTATGTAGTCGCTTAATAATAGAGAGTTTTGGATCCGAGTTTACCGCCAACCTCTAACCGCTGGAGGTCACGTGACAAGTTTTTCGCGTCACGTCTGAGGTTCACGACGCGCGTTTTCAACGTGGAGAGATAGGTTTTCACGTATGTCATTTACCTGAAAGCTTTTAGCGTATAATTCTTGTTTTATCCCACGTAATGATACAAAAATCTTGTGGAGGCACAACTTCGGGCGAAATGCTAAATTTGATGAATCCTATTGGATCTTGAAAACAAGTGCCATTCATGGCTGCTGATTCAAAATGGCGGCCGTAAAATTGCAAGGCTAACTAATGTATTTTGTATTTCTATTTATTTATTCGCCGCACGATCAAAATAATTACAAAGAAATGCCCAAAAAAATGTAGGAAGAAATGGCGAGGAGGCCTAAAGGAAACTATAGAGCTTATGTTAATTAGGCCTCCTCAATTACAATTTTTGGCATAAAAATTACGGCGACGGATACAAAATAATATCAGGTGGAAAATTAAACTAATCAATATTACGGAAGTTTACAAATAATGTTGAATATTAAAAGGCTTTTTCGTAAGATTTCTGTTGGGGTATACTAATAATTATTACAAATAAATGCCTTAAGTGCTCTAGATCTTTTAAAGGAAAAAGGTGAGGAAGCGTTGATGATGTTGGTGTTTAAGGTGTTGTAAAATTTAGGTCCTTGATGAAAAACGGAAAATTGTTTGGTTCGAGTACGACAGAACGGCAGACGAAATTTACACGAGTTTCTTGTATTATACGAGTGAATTTGACTTTGTAAAGTAAATTTACAATGAAATTTTAAAGGTAGAGTATTGTTTTGATAGGAGTACATGAATAAGCCTAGTTGATATCATGAAATTTTAAGATACCAAGATTTTGAAAGATTGGATCAGTATGTGCATCGAAAGTGGTTTTAGCTATAGTTCTGATCACCCGTTTCTGTAAAATCTCAAGACGAATAAGGTTAGTTCTGTAAATGGAGGCCATGTAAGAATTTTACAGCTCTTTTCTGCTAGATAACCCAGTGTTACCGTGTTAAATTTCTTTTATTTTTACTGATTGATTTTTCTCCTATTTCTAAATGGAAAAATAAACCAGAATCCACTTCTTTAATCCACCGCCAATCTAAATCGAATTATGTTTGAACGTCGAACCGCAAACGGGTAACCGCAAACCGCGGTTAGAGGTTCGCGGTAAACTCGGATCTAAAACTCTCTAATGATATTTAACGAACGTAGAGGAACGTTAAGAGGACTTTGAAATAAAATTTCTAAGCAAGAACGGAATAACAAGGGATTTACGGTACAAGGGTGGGGGGGCGAAAATGAACGAAGAATTTAGTGGAGGTGGACAGGGGGCGGGAGCTCTGGAGAATAAGGGGTGGGACCACTGGGACGGGTTTGGGAGATGGGAGAGGAAGGGGCGTGTGATGGGAGTTCAAAAGTGTGGAAAGCCGGAGAAAAAGGGGGAAATTACCCGGCAATGCTTAAAATTTGCAATCGAATAATGGCTAAATAACGGTAAAAATAAACGGTGAAAATGTCCCTCGACGTTTCCAAATGAAGGTTGCCAAGAAAAGCAGAGGAGGAAAAAACTAAAATCTAATAAATGCACGAAACAAAAATGGCTGGTAAGACAGCGAAACTAAACTGCACATTGACGATACCACTACAACAAAAACAAATTGAGTTGATCCAGGGCTTAACCTGGAAATCTGTTCATTGCAGATTTACGGAGATTCGGCAATGTGAGCAATATTATTTTATATCGGGGAGGACGAAATTATGTCTATTCAACACTTTTCTTTCGAATAGGATTAAAAATATGAGAATTTCCTTTCTAACATTCCCGTTATACAAATCCCACAAATAGGTGAGACTTGCGTAAATGTTTTCCCATGCTTCCTTGTGTACCAATTTTTTGTCCTTCTTTTCTTGATGGCTGGCTCGTCCCATCGCAAACATGTGAACAACAAGAGACACCATTCGGAATGAATCATGATCATGAAATGTGATTTACACATGAACGCGTTCTCCAACGATCGCTTTATCATGGCTAGAGACTTGATCGGAGTCATTATCCTCTCTTGGTTTCAGCTCATTCTCTCTTGGTTTTAGTCTCCTTCGCAGCCGCTCGGGCTGGAGTCACGCAATGCTCTCCGCCCTCTCGAGTGGACGTTTTTCTTAAGCCCTGTCCACATTAACAACGTAGAAGTTTGAACGTGCTGTGTTAAATATTTTTGGTCCATGCTGGACCGGTGTATTGGAAAACACAACATTTATTTGGTCAAAACAGGATAAACATGCAAAGTGCATATATTATTTTCTAAATGTTTTTTCTCAGATTAAAACGCAAACCTGATGTTTTCAAATTTACTCGCTTTGAAGCTGGAATATGCGATGAGCGTTTACCAGAAGTTCCGAGACTGTAAAACAGCCGGTCCTTTTTTATGCCCTTGTATGATTTTTACACGCTCATAGGGCGTGGCAAATCTCCTTTTCACCCTCGCTCCAGATGTTTCGTTTCAGCGTGGGTTCTTGATCTACGTAAAAATACGGGCTGATTTTTCTCTGGTCGACAATTTATCCAGCTAACTTTGATATCTTTAATGGACACCTGGAGTCAGTACCCTCTGGCATCAGTTCCTTTCTTGTCTTTTTTTGACCCTCGATGAGACGATATCGTATTGAATACTTTGCTCTCTGGGAGAATTATTTTGTAGCTAGTACTGCGTACACACACACCATTGTCTATCAGATGGTATACCCAATGCAAACGACCAAAACCCTAAAAACGTTGTTCTTTTTTATTGTTGGTAAGGCAAATCGAGTATTGGGTCTAATAAGGAGAACGTTTGGGTCTAAAGATCCTCTGCCAATCAAAACAGCTTTTATCGCTTTAGTTTGTCCTATTCTGGAATATGCCTGCCCAGTGTGGAATCCATATTTGGTTAAACACATAAACAGTATTGAATCCATTCAGCGTCGTGCTACTCGATTGCATGATATGTGGATATCATAATTCTTACACTGAAAGGCTCACTGAACTAAACTGGTCAACACTGGAGCTTAGAAGAAAATACCTTTGCCTGGTTCAACTTTACAAGATAATTCATGGCTATTCTGATATTGATTATACCACATATGTGGATCTGGCTGGCCCGACAAGAACTAGAAGAAACCATGACTTTAAAATCAGGCCCAGAGCAGCAAGGACAAACTATTTTAAATTTTCATTTTTTAATCGTTACGTTAATGACTGGAACTCTTTACCAAACTTCGTTATGTCTGCTTCCAGCTTGAACTCTTTTAAAGCTTTATTACTTAATTATCTTTGTAAATAGTCATCTGTTTATTATGAACTCTTTTAAAACTTTATTACTTAATTATCTTTGTAAATAGTCATATGTTTATTATGAACTCTTTTAAAGCTTTATTACTTAATTATCTTTGTAAATAGTCATATGTTTATTATGAACTCTTTTAAAACTACTGAATTTGGATTTTCCTTTTCATTTAATATCTAAGTAGTTTTTTTTTTAGTATCACGTAATGTATAATTATGTATTAGTTTTCTATTCTTAATTGTTTTATCTTTTCGTTTTGGAGGGCAGTTTTTATATGGAAATTCAGATTCCCCCTAATGCTTTCCTTTACCTATTGTACTTTTATGTATATATATTTTTATTTTGTACATTGGTAAAAAGAATTATTAAACTTAAACTTAAACTTAAACTTTTCATTGTTTTCTTTTCTGTGTGCGTGTGCGAAGTATTTCTGGCCGCGTGAAACAATATCGCCGGTTGTTTTTTGAAAACGTGTGGGTATCCCGGTTTTTTTGTTGATGCAATGAGTCAGGTTCTCTATATTTTCTACATAAATTATCAAACGAAACAGCATAATTCCCGGGGTGGGAATTACGGCCTTTTTTGTGAGCCCTTCATTGGGAAATAGACCGACAAGTGAGAGATAGATGGCAGAAAGGAACCATTCAGAGGCCGATTCTGTACTCTTTGCAAAGCTCTGCAAGGTTTTACGCAGGTAATGACGTTCCTCAATTAGTAATGGATCCTCTGAGTTCACTGATGATAAATTTGCCTGTAAAGTTCATAAGAGGAAACTCTGACTTCTTTCTTGGCCGGTTAAATTGCGTATTTTATGAAGTGAAGAGGCGAGTGCTCTTCAGTTGTTTGTTTTAACTATATTACTTTTGTACGAACATTTTGTGTCAATTTAACAATTTTTCATCATAGATTTAAAGCATTTTGTCGACCAGTTGGGAAGGGCGCATTAAGGGTAACTTTCCCCCTGGGTCACTGAAGCAACAGGACTATTAGTTTTTAATGAATGCAAGCTCTTTAATGAACATAAACACTGTTAAAAAATAAATTAAAAAAGGAGTATCTTGGGTGCTGTCGATATCATTTGTTGACCTTTGTTGTTTGGTTCGCCAATCGCAGTTTTTCCCCATTTGAACTCTAACAACTTCCATCCCCTCAGTAACGGGTTTTTATCGAATGAAACAAACTTTCAGGTGCACTTTATCGAAGATTCTTGATTTGAGATACTGTACATGTATTTTTAACATTCTTTATGTTGGTATTGACACTGCACTCCCGGCGTTGTCAATCAATGGTTTCCGATAATCGATAAAATCAATAATAATCAATAATAATCAATAACAATTAATCGATTGGTATTGGAAATCGATAAAAATCGTTGACTTAAAGTTGTGTGAGTATCGATTTCTATTGATTTTCATCGATTGTTATTGATTATTATTGATTTTTATTGATTATGAAATTTGTCATTTTCTTAAATAAAACGCACCATATGAATGAACAAACCATTCAGTTATCTTTACTTGTTGTGTTTTATGTTACATTTGTAACATTTTTACCCCTTATTACTATTAAAAGCCACTTATATTACTAGACTCTGATCGTCTCGAAACAAGAACAAAATTGTCTTTAAGTCTCTTCAGTGTCACTCTCTTCCAGCTTGTTAATTAGTTGAGGAAATTGTTTTTGTCTGCGCTCACTGTCATGCTGCCTGAATATACGCAATTCTAAAATAATAAAAATAAAATGAGTTCCAGTTATTGACATGACACATTTCGATTATTGTTTTCCCTTGTTTTGTATTGTGGCGTTTTTAAACTTACACAGTAATCTCTTTGTGTAAGGGCCAAAGAGGACCAACAAGCTCGATTTGAAGATGGCCGAGCTGCCCCCGATCATTCGTAACTCTGAAGGCATTCCCACGTTCTCCTCTCTTCTTGAATGCGTAGAATATTTCTCCGACATTCACTTCAAAAGGGCATTCGTGATAGCCCTTGACTACACAGCGCACTGACAATTCAACTTGCTTCGCCATCTCTAGAACAAGCAAACTCCGTAACAAGTGTGTTCTGGGAATCCCGGTTGAAGTGCAAGGATAAAAGTGCGCAATCGAATTACCCAATTACCCTGGACGTGTAAATATGCCCAGGACCAATGAAGCACGCCCACGCTAACACGCGCCAGAAAGTTGCATAATGAATTATTAATCAATGATTTTCTATAGTAATCAATGGTAATCAATAGCAATTAAGACTCCGAGTGTGAGTATCGATTTTTATCGATTGGTTGCACCAATCAATAACAATCAATGGATTGTTATTGATTATTATTGATTGTATTGATTGCAATCAATCGATCGGAAACCATTGATTGACAACGCCGGGCTGCACTTGACCTTCTGCGCGGCGGTTTTCACTTATTCCATTTATCTGCATTTATACGTTAAAATTAAAGTAAAACGATAGAAGACTTAAATATTCATTAGATACTACCTTATTGAACTTTATATTACATTATATTCATCTTCACTGAAAAAAAACATGTATATTTGGGCACATTAAATATTATTTCATGGCGTTTGTGTTACCCGCGGTTGCGTGACGGTTTTAACGTGCATTTTATGCAAAAACATCGAAAATGAATTGCGCGTTTACCTCTCTCGGCGGGTTGATTTTTAATTGCCCAAGCTGGATTTTTTATATATTGTACTACAACAGTAGAAATTTACTGAAGTATAACAATTCTTCTTAAATGCCAAGTACCAAGCCGTGATTTTTTCCTTCAAAGTTTCGCAAAATTTCATTGTTTATGAAAGTGCCGAAGATAGGAATCTTCGGGCGTTTTTTAACCGAGTAAAAATTTCATTATCTTGCAATATTTTTACCAAATAGTATTGTAACTGGGATGCCTTACTTACCTGCAAAAGATGAACTTGTCTCCTTGAACCGTCTTTCTTCCCGAGGGCTTTGAAAATGATTTAATTCAAAGGTTTTAGACCGGCGACTATATGGCGTGAGGCAGCATTTCTCTATTTTGCCGGTTTTCTCGAGAAAGAAAATTCTTTGGAAACTTTGATTGTGATTTTCGAAAATGTTTCATCAAAGGGATTTTTCTGACTGAATATGAAGAATTTCGAAATTTCCGTTTTGACGGCAAATTCTCGATATAAGCGTGCTCAATATGCATTAAAAACCTAGTATCTCAAATTAAATGCCCATTCAGTTCCTGTCCTTATAACACTTATCCTACAGATGTGTATCAGCATCAGTTACAAGGAGAAATTTCATGCTAATCATGCAGTCTTGAGGCTCAGAGGGTTTTAGACTCGGTACTTACATCTATGTTCATTTTCTTCAGACCGATAACCTCCATGAAGTGAATCAAAAATCGTTTTTGATTATCATCATCAGCCTTCACTAAATCACCTCCGGAAACAGTGCACACTTGTTGTGCACCTTTCCAGGTATCTTTATTATTTTCTTTGTAGCAAGATACTCCATTAAGAAACCATCCAGTAGAACAAGCCAATGGACCTAATTCGTGAAACAGTTACAGAGCAAATAGTTTGAACCCGATAAGAATCATAGCACTGCTATAAACCGGCTTTAGGTTTTCATTTGAAAGAGACCGGGACGAAAATCAGAGAACATCAACTTCTCACCGGGGGGGGGGGTTAAAATATTATAAAATTTTTACCGGCGATCAATTTTTTATATTTAGTATTAAACTAAATAGAATACACGAAAAATTAGAATCTTTACGTTTTTGGGTGTGGTAATTCAACAGTGTAAAATTTTTGCATAATTATGGGCGTGGCTTCTCATCTGACAAAAAGTGTAGTGTAACCACCAAAAAAGCCCTTTTACCCAGGCACAGTTATAATTAACGTTAAATGGTGTGCGAAAAAGAACAAGAAAACAAACGATAAAAGCCAAACATCAGGGTGGAGCCTAGCCTGCCTAAAATTTAAAGGCGTAAAGGCTACGTGAAGCCATTCCTTACTTCACGTGAGAAAGCTCCAACGCCGGTCATTTTAGAGTTTTAGCGTCATAATCAGGGATCAAATTTTATCTGTGCTCTGGTCGTACCTGCTACGATCGGAGCTTCCCAATTATTTTCAATGTCGAGTTCCCCACGGGAACAACTAACCTTTCGGTCTCTTGCAGATAAAATATTTATTTTCCTTGCAACATTTGGAGAGTTTCCAGCCACTTTTCAAGATTTCGACGCACTTATTTTCATAAACAATTCTCGACATGTTGCCGAGCCACTGGACGGAAACAGAACTGTTAAACGATTCTCCATTGTTCCATACATATCCACCCTTTTGATGTCGATAAGTCAACCCAATCCAAACAGAAGTGCGGTTTGCGTCCTTGAAAGCCATGTCATGGACAAACTTCATTTCCTTTTCATTCGATATGCTTACCAGGTCTCCTCCAAACCCAAAACACCCGCTCAAAGCTGTTGACCAGGCAAATTTCCGCGGATAACCGAGCCTATCCATAACCTTGTAGCAAAAGCCTTCAAATTCCCTCCACTCTTCTCTGCATTTCAAAGCTAAAAAAGATCAAATTGGGCGACCTTTGACTCTTGTGACGTAACGATAATGAACAATGCAATTATTGGATGAGGGTGATCAAGGTCGTTGTAAGTGTTATAAGCGGTGGCTGAAGACGGAAGATGATAACACTCTCCGCGTCGTGGGCCGGTCGTGGGTGTCTATATGCGCCTGCGTCAGGAGCCCATGGGCTCCTGCCCGCTTTTATAACCACTCGAGACATTCACTGCCGCTCCTAAAAAAGTTCTCATAAAATTTACATAGATCATAGCTCTTGAAGACCAATTAGCGTGCAATAAACCTCTCAGTTATTAAGAAATTAAAAATTGAAAATGTTATAAATCAAGTAGAAATACTTACCTGAATAACGCCTTGTTACTGCTAAGAGGAGTGACACGAACAGTGCGAGTGTTATCATTATGGCATCAGATCTGGGAAGGAGTTAAAGTTTAGGGACCAGTCATTATTTATCGCCCTGAGGGGGGTGGGGTGGTTGGAAGTTTTTTTGGGGGGGGTGGGGGTGGAGGGGTCACTTGACTTTTAGGAGAACAGAACGGGGGATCATTCGTAAATGAGAACCCAAGGGGGGAAGATTGAAAAAAATTTAGAAGAATTCAATTAAAGGGACCACTCAGATCTGCTTGGACATCGCCAGTTTGAAAGTAGGTAAAACAAATGTGTCCATTCTACTGGAGGAGAAGTGTCTGCGGTCTCCCCTGGTTCTAAGTTTCCCAAGAGCTGATGTGCCTCGAGTCGCTTCTCCCTGCATTGCTTTTTTTTGGACTTTCCTCTTGTTTTCCTTCTTTCTTTCTGTCGTTGATGACGACTTTTTTTGGATAAACAAAAACAAAAACAAAACATATACGGAAAAAATACACGTCGAAAGGTTAACATGGGTGCGAAAACTTTGGGGGGAATCACAAAAGTTATCAAGAGTTATGAGGGGGATCAGTTCAGTAAAATATCATTTAAAGGGAGGGGTGAGGCATATTTTACGATGTTAAGCCCAAAATCCTTCGATTACCCCCCAACCCCCCCAGGTGATAAATAATGACTGGTCCCTTACAGAAACATTTCCTCGATCAATGATTAATAAATTGTTACCCCAGGAGCCCATCACAGGCCGAACTAACCTGGGATCAGGCTCTATTTTCGTTTCGCTTTGAAACTTAATACATTCCGGCGGGCAAGGCGAAACGAAAAGAGAGCCGGATACAAACCTTCTACGAAACGTCTGCCGCCCACTTTTTTGATTGATTGACATTTGCCGAATCAGCCAACCAAAATTACTTCCGTTGATTGTTTTTCTAGTACGTATGCAAATTTTTAGCGCGTGGGAAAAATACAGACTGGCTGACTTGAAAAAAAGCTTTTATCAGTTAGTCTTTTTTTTATTTTTAGATTCTTTAAGCTAAAAATAAAACAGTCAGCACAATCACATTTAACTTCTTGCGAGATTAAGAGAGATCTCGAAGGTTATTTCTGTTGGCGTAGAAGGTAAAAAGTTTTCGAAAAGACGGCGACACGATGTTCCACTAGTTTTATTATTTTGGCTAGGAGCGCTCGAATTTAAAATACTGGAAATTTCTATTTTCCTGTTGCCTTAATAATTTTCTAGGCAGTTTTCCCCGATTTTCAGTACATAAATCTTTAAAAACAAAAGCAAACAGCCAACGAGCGAGGACACCAGTATTCCTGGTTTATTTTTTAAAAAAAGGGAAGGCAAACCAACAGTCTGTTACCTTAAGCCACCAGCTTTGATAATATAGCCTACAAAAATTCCTTGAACAGCGATGCGATATTTTTCGTCTAATACTTCACAGTTGGCGATTGATCATGAGGTTTCTTTCGCAGTGAGAAGTCATTCCCGGCTAAACTATCAAATGAAACCAGTTTTAAGATGGACAGTATTTTGATTTGCACTTGTTTGTTGGTAAATCAAAAGGCACCTTGTTAGCGGTCAACAACTTGCAGAGGGATTCAACTCTGCGATACACTCACATTAGTTCCGTAAATAAAGTAAATGCTGAGAAGATATGAACAACCATATGAATTTTCTGAATTTCCATGGCACATACTAAGGCATATTTTCCTACCATAAGACCTTAAAACAATAAAAAAGACAGCAAAATCGATCCTTCTCTCTGCCGACGACGGATCATTCACGAGAACAACCAAGCGACGAATAACCGCTTTCAACTTCCGGCGTTTCCGACAGCCAATCAGATCTCTATCATTTAATATTCAGAGTTTTATTCAGGACGATCGTGTAACAATTATTACCGGTGTATTAAGCCGGACAAGAAGACGAAGTGAATTGAGCAACTTCAAGATGGCGGTTCAACAACAACTCTTTAATCCATGAAAGCGAGGCCAATACGTCACGACTTACAATATCTCAATGTTAACCAATGTTACCCAATATTGTCACATCCTTCCCTTTTTTTTTTGATAATGGAAAACTTAACAATGATACTGCAAAACTAAGCTTATTAAACAAAGAATATACTGAAAGTGCAGTGTGTCATTTTCTGAACTACAGTTCTAAAGTCTCAGTTCCTGGAAATCGATGTTACGGAAGAAAAATAAAATGATAACGATTAAGTCTTAACATAGTCTTGGAATCTAACGGGCTCTTTGATGACACGTCCCGAGCGAGTACGCACAGGTGATGATTGCTTGGTGGACTTTGCTTCCAGGTGGACCTTCTGGCTGTTCGCAGCTTGTGTATTTAGCAATCCGGTATCTGGACTCTGTTGGGGTCCAGGTAGTGGATCTGGTGCAGGTAGTGTATCTGGTACTGGTACAGGAGGGCTCTTGACCAGGTGCTGCCTATTGCGTCTATAGGTGGACCCGTGTGACTGGATTTCGTAGGACCTCTCATCTAATCGCTTTGTCACTTTACCCTTGTCCCAATCATGTTTGCCGAGCACAAATGGCTTCATTCTGACAGTGTCGCCAACATTCAGGGCTGGAAGATCATGGGCTAACCGGTTGTAATAACACTGCTGCCTCTTTTGGTTTAACTGGAGTTGTTCCATCTCATAGAGATTTGGTGGGTTTCTGGGTTCCAGGAGTGATCTTGTGGATGGTAGCAGACTTCTTGTCCTTCTTCCCAGAAGACGCTGTGCTGGGCTACTAGCAACACCTTGAGTTGGTGTGTTCCGGATATTGAGTAGAGCCAGGTACTGGTCTTCTCCTGACTTTGATGTCTTGCGTAACATTCTTTTCGCAGTTTTCACAGCCGATTCAACCTTTCCGTTTGCTTTGCTGTGGTACGGTGATGTGGTAGTGTGTTCAATGCCCCATTTCTTTGTAAAAGACTTGAATTCGCTGGATGTAAACTGGGGACCATTATCTGTGACCAGTTGCCTGGGGATACCATACCGCGCCAGGTGTGACTTCAACTTTTTGATCACAGTTGATGACTTGGTGTTGGTGAGTGGATCCAACTCCCAGAAGTTAGACTTGTAGCAGACGGTGACGAGGTACTCTTTGTCATGATAAGTGAAGAGGTCTACTCCAATTTTCTCCCATGCTCCTTCAGGGATTTCATGAGACATAAGCGTCTCTTTGCAAGGTGTCAGTTCATTCTCTCTGCATGTCTCACAGGTGCGAATCCACGCTTTTAATTCCTTGTTCATTCCTGGCCAATAGACATGTTCCCTTGCGCGGCGCAGGCAGGCTTCAATTCCTTGGTGTCCGCTATGGATGTCTTTCTTGACTGCTGCTCGCATTCCTTTAGGTATCACAAGTCCCTCGCCGCGGAATATCAAGCCGTCTGTAACTGCAAGTTCATCCCTGACACTGAAGTAGGGGGTAACGAGGGGTGGTAGTGATTTCTCGTCTGCTGGCCAACCTTCTTGTATTATGCGTTTCAGCTGTTGAAGAGAGGTATCGTCACTGGTGTGCTGGCGGATCTCATGAATCTTCTCTTCAGGCATGATCAGATAGGAGAGGGCATTTATGGTCTCGAACTCTTCTTGTCCACAATCACAGGTTCTTGGCAGGTGAGCTCTGCTGAGCGTGTCGGCTAGGTACATTTCTTTACCATTTAGGTATCTAACTTCGATGTCATATGCCAGGGCGCGCATTAACATTCCCTGTAAGCGCTTAGGAGCTCTGTCCAGGGGCTTCTTCACGATGCTTGCAAGTGGTTTATGATCTGAATACACAGTCACAGGACGACCAAACGTGTACTGGTGCCATTTTTCTAGGGAAAACACAATCGCGAGCATCTCCTTCTCTATGGTGGCATATCTGGCTTCTGCTTCACTCAAAGCCCGGCTGGCGTATGCTAGTGGCTGGCCGTCTTGAAGGAGGGCGGCTCCCAGCCCCTGTCCACTAGCATCACATTGGATCGTTAGGCTTTTACTTGGATCAAAGTAGGCTAGTACAGGTGCTTGTGTCAGCAAGCGCTTCATCTCTGTAAAAGCTTTCTCGTGCACAGCATCCCACGTCCACTCAGAGGTGGGGCGGGCTAGGTCATAGATTGGATGCATCACATCAGACAGGTTTGGAACAAATTTAGACAGGTAATTCACAGTTCCTCTTAGTCTTTCCACTGCTGCTTTGTCTTGAGGAGGTGCCATGTTTTGGACTGCTTCAACTTTGGAGGGGTCTGGCTTGAGGCCATCACTGGTCAACACGTGGCCCATGAACGGGATCTCGTTGAGACCAAAACGACACTTCTCTTTGCTCAAGGTGATACCCTTATCGACACAGCACTTGAGGAAGGAACAGACACGTGCATCGTGTTCTTCATCTGTTCGACCCCAAATAATCACATCGTCAGCAATACAGCGGACTCCCTCAAGGCCTTCAAGAGCATGATGTAGTCGTTTTTGGAAGATTTCACTGCTGACGTTCAAACCAAATGGGAGACGTAGCCACCGATAGCGTCCGAAAGGCGTGGCAAACGTGGTCAACAAACTTGATGCATGATCGAGCTCACAGTGAAGGTACCCAGACTTGAGATCACAAACAGAGAATACTTTCGTCTTGGTAAGGTCTGGAAGAACATCTTCTAGAGTGGGAAGCTTGTAGTGTTCACGTTTCAGTGCTTCATTAAGAGGTCTTGGGTCAATGCAGATACGAATTCCAGCTTTCTTTTCAGCAACAGACATTTGACTGACCCAGTCAGTAGGTTCATCCACAGGCACAATGATTCCTGCATCCACTAAACGCTGAAGTTCATCTCTGACAACTTGTTTTCTAGACTCAGGCAGAGTGCGGGCACAACGGACGACAGGAGTGGAACCTTCAATGGTTGTTAAGTGAACTTTCTTCCCAGGTAGGGTACCAGGGGTGTCTTTAAAGGCATCAGGAAACTGTTTGAAGTATTGGCTACCATGGGTGACAACATTAACTGCTTTAAACTTGTCATAATGGACACTCAAGAGATTCATCTTCTGTGCAGCAATACTGCTGAGGAGAGGTGTGAAGTGGTTGTCAACAATGACAAAGTCCACCTTGTACTTCTTCTTAGTGGTGGGGTTCTTGACTTTGACCTTACACTTGCCAAGGGCAGGTAAAGACGTTTTGTTCCACATCTGAAGATGAACCCTCTCAGGACGAATAGCGTGCTGATCCCCCAGGTAGTGCTTTGGAAGAATACAAACTGTAGCCCCACAGTCAATTTGCATTCTGACAGGCCTTTTGTTGATTTCCATTTCGCAGAAAATAAGCTGGTTGCCAGGGTTTACTGAATTGACAACTTGATCTTCAACAGCTGTTACAGTGCTAATTGTTCCAGTGCTGCTTTCAGATGAATCAGAGGAGTAACCATCAGCAAGAGAGTTGACACCTTGGTGTTTACACCTCTTTGAGGCTTTGAAGTGATTTCTTTCACCACAGGCTGCACAGGTTTTTCCCCAGGCAGGGCACAATTCTTTTTTCATCACATGAATTTGAAGACAGAATAGACACTTCTTCTTTGCAGGTTTCTGATAATCACTTTGGGGAGGTTTCTTGGTTTTATGCTGGTGTTTATCTAGGCCTGACTTCTTTGTCTTCTTCGATATATCCTTGATCTTATTAATTTCTTCATTCTTCAGGGCCTTCATGTGAAGAGAAGCAGCTTCCATTCCTCGACAGATGTCAATAGCTTTATTCAGAGTCAAATCATGAGTAGAGAGTAGCTCTTCGCGTGTTTTGTCATCCGAGATGCCTAAGAGCAGGCGGTCCATAATCAACAAATCTCGCATGCAGTCACAGAAACCACAAGTTTTAGCCATGTTTCGCAGAACTGAAAGATACTCATCAATGGACTCACCAGAAGCTTGATCTCTACGGTTGAACGGAAAACGTTCAAAGAATTCCTGAGTTTGACCGAGAAAATGCTGATCGTACTTGACTAGAATATCTGCCATCTTGTTACGGTCCTCGCCTTCGGAGAATTTCATGCCGTTGAAAATTCGCATGGCTTCTATTCCAATGCTATGCAGTAAAATGGCGCACTTGTAGTCTTCTGGCTGGTTGTTTAAGCCCGTGATGATACAGTAATTTTCCCATCGTTGTTTCCAGATTTTCCAGTTGTCGGCCCGATCGCCTTCGATCTCTAGAGGTTGCGGAGGAGAAACTTGTGGCCGACGAAAAGCAGGAGCTGAAGCTTGCGGTCCAGAAGCTTGACTGTCAGAATCAGTAGGCATTGTTTACCGCTGCCACCATGTAACAATTATTACCGGTGTATTAAGCCGGACAAGAAGACGAAGTGAATTGAGCAACTTCAAGATGGCGGTTCAACAACAATTCTTTAATCCATGAAAGCGAGGCCAATACGTCACGACTTACAATATCTCAATGTTAACCAATGTTAACCAATATTGTCACAGATCGAAGCACGCTAAACCGTTAAAAAAAATTCCAAAATCACCTATACGGCCAGCCGGTTCTGACTTTTGCAATGGTAGCTGTGGCGAGTGTTTGAATGAACATTAACAGAGTTACGCTCCAACATAATAAAGAATTTATTATGTTAATGTTTTATTTTAAAATGGTTTAACGCGCGGCATTTTGAGTACTCCGGGAAGCGTTGTTCACTGAACGACTAAAAACAATCGGCACAGCGATTAAAATTACAAGAGAGACTACTAACAATCAATAAAAGAAATATAATTCGGTGAAACATACAGAGACGACAATTTTCATTCAGGAAGTCAAGTATTAAAGTGTCTCTAAAAATCCTTAGTCTTCGAGCTTAAAGCTGGAGTTTATGTTTAAAGCCGGCTTCCCAGCGTTTGCTTTTTTCAAAGACGAACTCGAGGCAAGAAAATTGCTCAAAGCTTTCTTTTACAGCCAGAATTACAACTAAATATTCTTTGGAACGTTTTCTTTCTATTTGCAGTGAGAAAATGTCTAATGGCTTTTTAAACTTCTGTAAGCTTAAACAAACCTGATACTCGGTCAGTTCATTGTCTCAAGTCTTATAAACGTGCGTAAACAAGATAGCCGCATAAACTACGCTCGACTTTATTAAGTTAGAAATAAAAAACAAACATGAAATACAATAATTACTCAGGCTTACCACTCGAGATGCAGCTCCTGAAAGGTATCAAGTAAGGCCAGTATCGCTTCACACTTTGCAACACTCGTACGCATTAAGCAAGGTGAAAACGAAAACGGTGCCATCCGAAATCGGATTTCCGACTTGGAAAAGACACGTATTTCTCAACCAAAAACCCAATAAACAAACCAGCCATGAATAACAGAACACTCCTGATAGCAGCTGAATTTCATTTTGTACATCCAGTGGAAAAAGACAGTTAAAAACATCACAAGTTGACACAAAACTCTGTCAGCTTCAGCTGTCAAAGTAAACAAGATTCAAGATGCTGCATAAATTTTCCGCATGAACTCACCTGTCAAATTTTGACCAATCAGAGCATAAAAATTGGACGAGGAGCGTGACCAACGCGTGAACATGGTGAGAAAAGTAAAAAAACACTGTCTTCCCTGCCTGTAGCTGCTGGCTGAATTTTCGCGTCCGAGGTCAGTTTGGAATCAAAATTTTAATTGTGCGGCACATAAACACGACATATTTCATATGAATTAAAAAAAAATTAAACTTGAGCCTGCGATCAATTGAAAACCAGTACCTTGTCAGCGGATAACTTCAAAAAATACTTGACCTCGATGGGTCGACACCTGAGCCGGCGATACGGTCAAGTGATATTGATCAGCGGATACCTTGTTTTGACAGCTATCAATTGATCACAACATGTCTAATATGTGTATCAGTTTTCCTGTGCTATGATCCCAAACTAACTAGAAAGTATGAGATTGAACATTGATCGCAATCTAGTAAAAAAATATAACTGGTCAGCGGTCAGTCTCCAAATAAATCACGTCACCTCAATGAGATAACACATGAGCTCGCGATATGGTCATGCGATATTGTCAGTGGCTATCCTGTTTTGACAGCTGTCAATTGACCATATTGTGAATGTCTAAGGTAAAAGATGTGGACTTGCCAAGACACGCCTGAGACACCCCTCCCTGGCTTTTGATAGTCTCCCCTACCCCACCCGTACAGTTCGTAGACGTGTACGCACGTACATACGCTCGGTCAATCAAGTGGCAACCAAATGAAAAGAGGTTGACCATATTCTATGAGTATGGAGCTCTGTGTCACGCGCACTTCGCGCGCGTCGGAGCCCCGCTGTTATGTCATATTAGTATAAATGGAAAGCGGAACAAAGAGTTTTCTGCCATCTGATTGGTTGAGCGGTTCAGCATATGACGCTATATTCACCGCCTAGCGCGGTGAATATAGGACCAAAACAAAATGGCTGCCAGCAGCCGTTTTGCAAACGTTTCGGACGAGGAAATAAAGGTTAACGCGGTCCCGAAATCAACACAAAATGCTACGAAGTATGGTGTAAGACTGTTCGAAGGTAAGTCAACTTCTTCCGCTTGTCTTACTATTTTATTTTGAAACTTAACAAACTGTCACAGATCGATAACAAAAGCTAAACTTGCTGTTTAATTTTTTTTTTCTCAGAATGGTTTGCACAACAAGCTGAATTCACAACTGAGTTTGAGTCCATGGAAGTGACAGAAATGAACAACTGTATCTCAAAGTTTTACCTATCAGCAAGAAAGCAAGACGGAAGTCATTACAAGAAGACAAGTCTGTTGTCTATCAGGGCAGCCCTAGATCGCTATCTACGCCCACCGCCTATAATAAGAAATTCTCCATTTGCGACACAATTCAATTTAACGAGGCAAATAGAGCTTTAAATTCCTACTTTAAGCACCTTGCCAGTACAGGGAAAATTGCCGGTACGGTTCACAAAAATCCCTTAACAGCGGAAGTTGTGCAAAAGCTGTTTGAGGCAGGAGAATTGGCGTGTGCGGAAACAAAAAATCCTCTCGCTTTGCTGCAAACAACATGGTTTTACGTTTCTCTCTATCTCGGCAAAAGAGGGAGAGAAAATCAAAGTTCAATGAAGAAATCTATGCTCCGTCTGCCGGTGACAGCCACAGGTGAAGAATTTTTTGAGCTAAATAAAGCAGAACCAGGCGCAGTGCTCTCCACTAAAAATCACATGGGTGGCATTGATGGCAGTGAAGATTACGGAGATGGGAAAATATTCTCATGCCCCGGTTCCAAAAGATGCCCGGTTAAGACGATTAAAGCGTACCTTTCCCATCTGAATCCAGAGGTGGATGCGTTATTCCAGCGGCCCAAGGATGTAAGTGTAAGGTTCAGTCCAGAGGAGGATAGTATCTGGTTCGAGAGGAAGGTTTTAGGCCACAACACGCTGGAAAATATGCTGAAGAATATGACCCAGAGAGCCGGGATCCAGCCATATTCCACGAACCACTCTCTCAGGGCCACAACAGTCACCGTTCTTTCTTCAGTGAACGTGGAGACACAGCAAATTAAAGCAGTGACTGGCCATAAAAGCAAAGCAAGTATCGAAAGTTACTGTGAAAGGCCAACCCTGCGTCAATTCCAGCACATGTCTTCGGCGCTGACTTCATTCATACATGGAAAGGAAAACACGCTACCAGAGCAAGCTACGTCGTCTTCCTCATCTTTTGGGTCAACCAAAGCAGTCCCAAGCACTCAAGCTGAAGTAGTAGCTGTTCCAACAACAGCAATCAGCATTTCCACCATTCAAGAGGAGCAGAACGTCTTCATTGCCAACGGCGTAAACCCAAGTGCAATTCTACCATCGGGCAGCTTTCATTGATGTTCTTTGACGTTCAATATTAACATCAACGAGTAATTGTTAGCCCTTGCAGCTATTTCCGTTGACTTTGTTTTTGTAAAGAGCTGTTTTCCAGCAAATCGAGGAACAACTGAGCGGTCTTTCTGACTGTTTTCCGCTTGTTTGAAACTTTGACACGAAATCAACGAAATCCGTTTGAAAAGTTTATCATGCGATCATTTGCTCGTTCGTGAGACCCCCCACATAGCGCATGTGCTTGAGGCTTATTGAGAATTAAACAGGAAATTTTAAAGTGTTGATCGCCGATTTCTCTGTTGTTCAGCTTTCCAATTATACTAAAACAATTATTCGCCTCAGGCTCGGTTAATATTGTTGAATAATCCCCTCGACTTCGTCTCGGGGATTATTCAACAATATTAACTTCGCCTTCGGCGAATAATTGTTAAATGATCAAGTTGCGTCTTCTCTGTACATTTATCAGTTTAGGCGCGTATAATAGTCCCAAAACAACGGTTTTAATGTAAAGATGCCGGCATCGCGCCAAAGAAATTATTTTGTTCCGAACTCTTTTCCATCAAGCGAAAAACAGCATTTTTTTATTTATTCAAAGCATTGTTTTTTGTTTTCGGCTACGAAAGCAAATGTGCACTGTTTGAACTGATGCAGAGGTAGAAGATTAAACATCAAACTCTTCGCGGTTGTTGTTTATTTTTGCTTAGTCGACAGTTATTCGTGTATATATGATTGCAAAAATGTTAGAGACTGAAAGGATTAAGAAGAAGAAAATTCTATGCACATCAGCTTGAACTTCCTCTCTTCAAAACTGGCACAGATGGCAGAGGTCTTTAACCTGTCATGGAAGTGGTCGCATTCAATTCTCATGCAAATACTTCTAACATGCAAGGGGGCAAAATGACAAAGGGAAAACTATTAAGATTGAAATAACGTAAATTCACTTTTTAAGCGACGTATTCTCCATCCTATCAGTCGGATCTTAGGGTCCCTTTCGACATTTTGTATTTACAACGTGTGGCATAATATTAGTGCCAATTAACACTTCTTAAAAATATTTTTTCTTGCAAAAAAAAGCAAAAACGAATGCTTGACTACTGACTAGATAGAAAACACTACGTTGCTTAGTTTGCAGATTTAACCTTGATATATATTTCAGACAAAGAGCGTGCCGTGTTTCTGTCGTTTCCGTAGACGTACAATTTCTCTTGTCAGATCAAGCAATCGCAAGGAGATATGAGACTGGAAATATACCCTTACCTGGAGTAGCGACGCTTTCTTCCTTCCCAATTTTACAGCAGACAAATAAAACACTTGTCTCCCTTCTTTCATTCAAAGTAGATTTAATGCTGAAGAATATGATCTTAAGTCAGTTTTCCTCCCTTAGCTGTTGAGACTGATAGGTAATGGTAAAATTTTGGTTCAAAATATGCAGGTGCTGTTAATTACACGTCTGTTAGCTATAGATCCTGGACAGTTAAATTAGGTGCAATTTGTCTACATGCACGTTATTGACAAATAGCCCTTAACGTTTCAACAATCAACTCTTTCTCTTTACTCATAAATTACTTTTCATTCCTTCTAAATATTCAACATCCATTGAACAACAGGTAACAACTTACATATTACATTTAACTGGCAACTGGTAGGTTATTAGTGCTGCAGACGCATGAACAGCCGTGGAGAAAACTTTTCAGGACTCATTGGCGGCTGAAGCATAAATAGTGGATAGTTCAGATAGTGGAGTGTGGTGCAAATTAGGGACCTTAAGCAACGACGACGACAAAGACGGCAGTGAAAACATCACTAAAAAAAAAATTGCCTGCTTTCAAACTTTATCGCATCAATTTGGAACCGCCGAATTCGTCAAATGTAGGCGACTTGTCCTTGAGTTGAATTCTTAAGGGCTTTATCCATGTTCAAATAGAGAAGGGAAAATTTGTCTTAGTATGTCCACGTCCTCCATAAAACGTCGCATTGGGAGGTTTCACGTCGTAGTCGTGCAGTGGACGTCAAAGAAATGTACTAAAAAGCGTGATGCACGTGCAGAGCAGTTGTTTTGCTTATAAAACCAATTGTTTTTTGACGTTGTTGTTGTCGTCGTCGTTGCTTAAGGTCCCTGACAGACATATTCGGCTAACTAAGGGCCTGTTTACATGGAGTGGGGGACCCCGGTCTAGTGGGGTAGGTTTCTTTTGTTTTGTGTCCCCCAGAGCGTGAAAACAAAAGAAACCAACCCCACTAGACCGGGGTACCCCACTCCATGTAAACAGGGTCTAAATGTTGTACCCAATTCAAACCCTGTGGGGATAAAACGTTTTGTTTAGGGAAAATTTCCATATCATTTAAATGTGAATACAATATTATAATGCAAATACGGTACACAAAGAATCTTAACCCAGGGAGATTTGAATTGGGTACAACATTGAGTTAGCCGAAAAGGTCTATTAATGACAGGGGCACTCAACAACGGTTTCCTACAGAATACATTGGAAACACAGGTTATCGAAGTACTTTTAGATCTCTAGAAATGCATTCAAAGCGGCGCTCCAGAATTTTTATCTGTTCGGTCATCCCAGGGGAACTTAAAAGTCTTTTCGAAATTACAAGGGCTCCAGTATTATTTTCCGAAAAATTTTAAGGCAAATTGAACGTTTTCCGAAAGTGAGAATTTTTATGATTCCTCTCTCCATCACATTTTAGAATCCGAAAATTTTAAGTTTTCCTTTTTCTACGAAAAATAGTGTAACCTGGGTAGTAAAATATGAAAAATTACACTTCAGAAAATCGTAGGGAATTTATAGGATAAGCTTTGAAAATTGTATATGAATGGAACGTTCACCTAGAATGTTTAGCCGTCCTCAAGCAATAGAAAAGACCGGAGTCAGGGCAGTATCTAAAACGTTTTATAAGCTCTCTCGACCTATTATTACGCGGGTCCCAACTGAACCTCCCTGCAATGCAGGGAATGTCTTAACAACTTTGGTTTGATAACGATGAGTATTTGTTTTCAACAATTGCTAAACTCTCTTGAGAATAGATAACTTATTTCCCCATCCTTTAGCAAATAATTGCGCTGTGCAGGGTATCAATTTAGGGCCTGTTTACATGGAGGTGGGGGACCCCAGATGGGTGAGGTAACATGTGGCGGGTCACCCCACCTATCATGTAAACGTGAGTCAAATTAAAATGAGAGTTTATATGGACAGGTGGATTACCCCACCTACGCAGGTTACCTCACCTACCTGGGGTCCCCCGCCTCCATGTAAACAAGCCCTTTAACTTCAAAGCTTGTTTTTGTTCTTTACTTAATATCATTATTATTCATTCAAAATGTTTCGTCAACTCTGATTGGCTAAAAGCACACGCATAATTCACCATAACCAGTTACTGATGACCAAATTTGGAAGAATTTTGTGTTTAACGAAGAAATGGCGTCAAAAATGCAGTCCTCTAAAGGTTAAGGCACCGTTAACCGAGAAGACCTGGGGACGAGGTTGAGTTGTTTTCGTTGTGAAAACTAACATGGCGGACACTTCACTCGTTTCAAGAGTCAGAAGTGCAGCTGGAACTAGACGAAATAATGGCTAAAAACACAGCCAAAACAGCAAGGAGACAACTCGGAGGGCGACATCTGCTATTTGGAGAATATTTGAGGGGCTGGACAAACCTAAACGTGCACTTTCGAAGATAAACTTAACATCGATGCAGGAATTATTTTGAATGAATAATAAAGCAATTAATGAATTCGGCTTTCGTAGGATATGAAGAATTAAGCAGATCTCGGAGGGTGTTATCCACCTTGGCCTTCAGCGTCGCTGGATATCTGTTTAATTCTTCATATCCTACTCAGCTTCATTCATTAATTGCTAATTATTATTAGTACGTCTACTTTTCCTCAATTTTATTTTCTTCTCCACTTTACCCCCCGCCTTAAGATAAATATTTCCTTTTTGCTTATTATTCTCTTTTTTTTTTCTTAATTAATGCGAAATAAAGTTGTTTTTCTTGTTTTTTAGTGACAAACACATATTAAAAAAACTTGAACATAAACTGTGAAAAAAAGAAGCGTTTCATTATTAGAACGGGCTTCGGTCAAGCAAGCTAATTAATAACACTTTAATGTGAGCTTTTTCCAGTCGAGGTATTAATTTGTCGACAAATTAATTAGTACATGAAATTAAGGAAAGGAAAATAATCGATAATTGAAAAAACAGTGTGCAAAGCACGTCGACGAAAATTGCCTGATCTTATGCTTAAACGTTTGGCAAGATTTTTTACATATCAGTTGTTGGCTTTATAAACAGCAGCTGCAAGACGTTGGCTCCGCTTTGTGAACAAATTATATTTTCCTCCAACGGGAGAAAGTATTCAAAGCATCAAAACTCGGAGAGCCGTTTCTCAGGTATTCAGTTATTTAAAGTCATGTCTGGCGTAACCATTTTTAATTTGCTTTTGTAGTCATGAGTTTTTATTAGATTGTAATTTCAGCGGCACCCAACGATCCAATGTTTCTCAATGCGGTCGTTGGTGTCTCAAAAGATTTTCTCTATGCTTTAGAAGCCTGTTTGGTTAATTCGGAGCTGCCCTAAAAAAACTATTTATCTGTTCCGATGTCTTAGGGCATCTTTGGTCGCCTCAAAGACGTTTTAGGGGACTTTTTCGTCTCATCAGAAACTGTTAGCTAACCTGAATGGGTCCGGTCGAAAGTTCGGAGAAAATGCAGTAACGGTACAGTACTTTCGTTGAAAAATTGTAGGGGACGTTTTAGTCTTTATACCGAGATTTTTAGGCGGCTCTTTCTTAGCAATAACCGCAATATCTTGGCAATAAAATGCGAATAATTACAAGTGAGACTTTCATTTTAGAGAGAGACTAGGACAAAGATAAAACGAAACTATAATAAATTAAATAGAAAAAAGAAAAATTCGAAAATTAAAAATGTTTTTTGGTGTTGTAATTCTAATGTGTAAACTTTTGTATAAATACAGGCGTGGCTGGTCATGTACAGTGTTAGCACCAAAAATAGTTTCTTTCATCCGGGCACAGTTATAAATACGGTTTAAAGAGACTGCGAAACAAAGCGAAAGCTAATCAAGGGTAAAAGCCGGATGTAAGTGAGGAGCCATTCGTTAATTTACATGAGACAGCGGTAACACTGGCCATTTAAGAGTTTTAGTGCCATGAAATGATCAAATTTTACCTATGCTCTGGTCGCACCTGGTACGATCGAAGCTTTCCCATCATTTTCAATGTCCAGTTGAGTTCCCCACAATAAAATGCAACTCACCTTTCGATCTCTTACGGATGAAATATTCGTTTTCCTTACAACATTTCGAGAGTTTCCAGTCATTTTTCAAGATTTCGACGCGTTTATTTTCATAAACACTTCCTGACATGTTGTCGGTCCTTTTCTGGCGATTACTTCGTCTGTTGACACCACTGTTCGGGATATCGCCAGCTTCTTCCAAATCTGGTCAACGCTAGCTGGATATGAAGAAATAACCGGGGTATTTGAGCCAAACGTAGAAAACGTAGAAAAAACTTCGATGTATAATAATGAACAATTATTGGATGATAAGACCTACAATAGATGATTCCGGATATCACAAAGAAAACCGAATGCTCTAGTATTTGTTATATTAACATATACACACTCAGTGATCTTGGTGTTTTGAGCAACGTAATTGGTTGATAACTAAAGCTGTTTAACAATTATTGAATGAGTCTAATATGGTGTATATTCTTCACATAACGTGAATTAAGCTTTTTTAAAAATGCTCTCATCGACCACTGTGCTTTTGAAGAGCAAACAGCGCCCGTGAAGTCACTCGCAGCTAGTTATTGTAAAATTTTAAAAAGTTGATTACTAAAAGTTCAAATGGACATACGTACCAGTATAACGCCTTGTTACTGCCAGGAGGAGTGACACGAACGGTCCGATTGGGATCATTATGACATCAGATAAATGATAAGCTACATTTCACTCACCTTAAAAATTTCTAGACTGAAATGACACCTGTTTGAAACTTGACGGGGTCAGATTACTGAATAAACCCTCGGACTTACAAGTAAGGGGGGGGTGCCACCCCCCGGAGGTTTTTTGATATTTTTCCTAGACGATGAAACATCAGCACCTGACGTTTCACTAGCTGTTCGTTTATCCCTCGCGCGCATTTTGAGACAAGTTTAATGATAGTCAGTTACTATGGTTACGAGATATGATATCATAAGTGCCAGGTGGTCAAGCAATTTTTGAGTGCAAATGCATGTTTTTTCAACTTTTTTCAACAATAAATATGACCTGTGGATAAAATGATATAAAGTTGCGTATTTATGTGTTAATTTACATGTCAAGCACAGAAAATAACCTACTTTCTAATTCTCGATAAAATCCAGGATGGCGAAACTGTTTTTTTATTTTTCGATTACGAGCATCCATTTATTGATAAACCGATCGACATAATTGAGCCTGCTGTAGCAAGCACACGGGCTTTTAGGCCTAGGTTCGAGACTATAACCAAGTAACCTGCCGCGTAGCGTCTTTTTCGAGTACGCCAAGATCCAGAAAGCGAAAGAAAGGCTCTGCTGGCAGAGTACAACGCCTCTGGCAACTAGAGGCGTCGGGACATATTAAAACGAATAGCCTGGAATTTTCGGATTATCTTCAGTTATCTTAGTCTCAGTGACTCCAATAACATTAAACCTATATTTAAGTTCGTCTAATAAATGAACCTGGAAATCATGAAGATTGCGCTCTAAACTTGTTACAATATTGTGAAGGAGAGAGAAGGTTGAGCTTGTTGCATACGGGATGGGTATTGCAAACTCATACCATGAGAGCAGTTTGAAATATATTATTCTTAAGAATTTGTGTCGGCTTAATTGAGAACAATAATGTTTACAAAGATTCTTATAGAAGGTTGGGAATTTTAAGTTATATATAATCGAGAACATTCAAAATGACAGTGTAAGATGAGACCCGTCTGTGACTAAAACTTCCGCCAAATTTCCGCTCATCTCTTACAATATCCTACCCCATGAATGATCAGGAGCGCCCAATGCGAGCATCACAAATCTTGTGTACATTCCTTTAAAGTTCTTCGTCATTATATCGTCTTATCAACGATTGCCATTTGAAAACGAACTGAGTGCATCGTCTTTTTTCGCAGATCAAGGATGGATGTTCTTAAAACAATTATCACTGTTTTCTTGATCTTCTTCCCAGTGATAATAAAAGCACAGCAGAACATTCAAGGTAATGACCAGTATAATTATTATAAGTGTAAATCAATTTCAAATCATAATTGTTTGTATTCTACCAACCTTAATTTGAAATGGTTTATTGATTGTACATGTATGTTCAGTTTGAATTCATTCTCTGTATAAACTGAAAAAGTGTCCTTTGGTGCCCATCAAAGCTCTTGTACTGGTATTCCTGGTTGGTCAAGTTCAAGTTTGTGAAATCGCGTTGCATACAAAAAGGGCGTTTTCCATGTTTTCCTTAAAAACAAATTAAGGATTAAAATAATCACCGAAACGATTTCGGCGAACCCGGTCTTGGATAAGACTTTTAACTGATTGTTACAGGGTGGTAACCATATTAATGTGCATCATGGGAGGTGTGCAAATTAACTGGGATTTTCGTGTTTGCTTTGACAACCTGTGATAAATATCTTTGCGCCGTGAAAAATGTCGGTGCCGAAGCAGGCCCAGTACAGAACCAAGCTGGATTTTATAGGGGAAACATCATGAACTTCGAACGATCAAAGTTCAATTCACTCGTCAAGAAAATTGCCTCGAAGCACTGACAGCCTTTAAAAAGAAGTGTGGTTACATCTTCAAAAGACGTCTTGTGAATCGATTTCGAACTAAACAAAATGTTTTCAGGTACAAGATTGGCTCGGTCCTGAAGGTCAAAAGGTCTTAGACTGGTTTCAAGGTGACGATGTATTACGACTACGAACTGCAATGTCCGGGACGAAGTTAGAGAGAGCAGTAAGTCCAGAATGTAACGAGATTGTTGCTTCTAAACGAAATTTAAAGAACGACTGCAAAAACCTGGAGAGACAACCCCTGCAGAGACTGCAATTATGTAGACGAAGATTAAACAAGGTGGAGATTATCTTTTTACGGTGTATCTGATAGACAACCGAAAGAACAAGAGGTGAAGCTTTAACAATTGGCAAGGCTTATGAAAGTACTTAATTTAAAGTTCAAGAGTATTTAAGTGTAGTGCGAACCGACCTCCTGCAAAGGAGAGCATAAAAGCTGTTTCTGAAAATAAGCCTAAAAAAGTCCCTTTTTGTAATCGTTGTGCCAGTAAAATGGGAGCTCATGGCTTTTTAGACAAGAAACTCGGCCCCACGTGGGGAACAGTCTACAGAAAGTGGAATATCAAAAATCACTTTCAAGACTCAAAGAAGAGTAAACATTCCCAAAAAGGGATTTTGCAAGAGAAACACTCAGATCAAAAACAATCAAAATCATCCGCAAAACCATTTGTACTGAGAGTGGAGGAAGATGGCGAAGGATCACTACTGTGAAGTTATTGACAAAAACGGGGCACTCAACCCGAAAACCATGAGCAGAGGAAAGCTTTTTCAAACCTACTGCTGTCAATTAAGAAAAGGATTCCTGTTAGCTAACAGATAGACTCTGGCTCTACATGTAGCATTCCTCCTGTGAATGTTTACAAAGACATCATTCATTTATTCAGTCGAGACTATGGTCTCAATGACCTTAACACAATGCAATCAAGCCTGTTCTTTCTCACTGGGATAAAGAAACCATGAATTTAGACACTGGGAACCAGATCCCTTCAGTTATCACAATAACCCTACACCACACTGTGTCGGCTCAGTCTTCTGAGTCTGTGTTTTAGATGTACCCCAAATTAAAGTGAATTAAAACGAGCTGTAGTCTGCTGATGGCGTTACTGTGTGATATAGTGTAGTATTGTCATAACTGAAGTGACTTTAGTGTAGTGGTAAAACCTGCATAACAAATTTATGAAAACATTTTGCTCGTTATACGCTGCTTGTAGATCAATACCGTCCTAGTGAAACACGAAAGAAACTTGTACACAAATCCAGGCGCAAAATATGGCGGCGCCCTTTCTTTTGGAAAAGCACATGTTCGACACGCCTGCGAGGGACGATGGGTAAAAAAACGACACCCCGCGAACTCTAAACTAATCGCAGCGAGTAAACGTTCACTTAAAGCTATATTCCCAGCACAACGGGAGGGTGGGGGTCGCTGCGATAACACTTCTTAAGCAAAACAAAACCAAACGCTAAATATCAGTTCAGCAAACTGTTCATTGTCACATTCCTTACATTTGTTGACTTCAGTTACAGGCTTTACTCCGGCGGAACAAGCAGGGCAAGACGTGACTGCTCTCGAGACTACAGTGTCTCTTGCACCTCTTTACTCATGAGCTCTTTCCCCAGTTCGATAACTTTCGTACTGAATAGCCACTCGTCGCACTCTTCCGTCTTCTCCTGGAAACACCTCTTTCACAAGCGCCAAGCGATAATCTTCTCTCAGCGTGTTCCTGTCCGCCACGATTACTACAACTCCTGGGCGCAAGTTGCGTCTCGCAGTGTGCCATTTGCGTTGTACTAACACAATTGGCGCAAAAATTCCGTCCATCGTTTCCAGAAGTCCTCCACCACTGACTGGACAAGGTGATACCGAGAAGAAATGTTTGTGTCATAAGGTTGCCATCCCAAGGGGTTGGATGCGGTGGCTCGTCCCAGCAACAAACCATCAGGTGTTAGAACATTGATGGTTGAATCTTCACTTGCTTTCACACCAATAGGACGCTTGTTCACCAAATTGGACACTTCACTGCAGAGAGTGTGAAACTCAGGCACAGACAGTCTTTGGTTACTCACTGAAAAATTAATGGTGCGCTTCGCCGCTTTGATTAATGATTCAACTGATCCTTGATGCCAAGGACTATCGGCAGGACCAAATACCCATGTTTATCCATTCTGCGCGGAGCTTCTCTGTAATGACTTCCGATCAATCTTTTTCCAGGCTTCCTTGAGCTCCCTCTCTACACCCACAAGTTGAGAACCTGGGTCACTGTAAATTTTCTCCTGCCGTCCACGGATACCTGCAAAGCTGCTGAGAGCCATCAGGAAATTGCTTGTGTCATACCTAAACACTGCCTTGATGTGCTCGGCCCTCGTTGCCAGGTCTGTGAACCGTAACACCATATGCTTTGGCACTCGTGCGTTTTTGGACCTCAACTCGTACCATATAGGGGCCAAACAAATCAAGCATGAAATGGTTAAATGAAGGTGCTGGTTTAAGTCTTGCTACCGGTGGTAGTCCCATCTGCTGCTCCAGGAAGTTTGCATCGTGCAACTTGCACAGCTGACAGTTCATTTTTACTGATCTTGCCACGTTGCTCCCATGTGGTTCCCAGTAGCACATTCTAAATCGGGCCAAGACTGCGTCTCGTCCTCTTTGTCCAGCTTGGTGAGCTCCTTGCATGAATAGGCGTGTAGCTGGACGCTGATTGGGTAACAATTTCTGCAGGGATGAATCCGGTGTCATTTCGTTGTACCTTGTTAGCCGTTCACCAACAACCCACATTACATTTACATCGAGTACAGGCCTCTTTTTAGCATAGTGACCTCTTCTGCCCCCCTTGTTGATACTCGTCTTGAGCGCACAGTCAAAAAATTTCTGGACATCCGTCACCATGAAATCCTCTGCTTCTTTCAGGTGCAGAGCGGTCATCTGTACGGCATTTCCAGCACGGAAAGTTTTGCTTCTAGCGATGTATTTCAGTGTTGCTACTACCCAAATAATCCGATTGGTGTCACTAAATCTTTCATAATCAATGAAAAAAGAGTGTGCTGCGACTGCGGCCTTGCTACAGATCTTTTTCTCTCCTGGGAGCGGTTCTTCCTTCTGTAGCCCAAACGTGAGGCCCCAGTTTTCTACGGGTTGGTACAGAACAGGGGGCGCGCCCACGTGTTAACCAGTCTGCTGTGTTGTTGTGACCCGATATCCAGGTCCTAGAGGAAACATCACCATTTGTTGCAGCTTGAATTTCACCAATTCTGATTCCTTCATACAGCTCAAAACGAGTGCTGGTCTTGTTGATCATGTCCAATATAGTCTCGGAGTCTACAATGTGCAACACTCCGTTCAAAGTTGAATCTCATATCTTTCTCAATGACCTTTCTTCCTCGTTTGGACAACACAACAGCATTCAATTCCATGGGGGGGGTGGACAATTTGTTCACTGGGGCAATACGACACTTTGCTATAACAAGTGGACACCAGTAGTCACCATTGTCAAGCTGCCATCTGATGAAGGCTACAAAACCATTGGTGAGATCACTTCCATCGCTAAAGATGAGCAGCCATGGTTGACCAATTGAGTTTGGTGGTGGCAAGGAACGGTCCAAACTGAGGTACTCAAGATCAAACAAAGAGTAGAAGAAAGGGGCCCACTTGGCGCGGAGTTCAGTAGGCAGCTGATCATCCCAGCCGAACTTCTGAGACCATGTTTCTCGCAGGTAGATTTTCCCCAACAATGTGAAGGGGCACACAAAACCAGGGGGATTAAATATCATCACTTGTCCCAAAACCATTCTTCTTGTCAACACTAGAGGCCAGTAAGGCTTGGGGCACGTCAGCTTTCTCGAGAATTGGACCAGTGTATAATCCTGTTAAACACAATACGCACTGGTGTGGAGTTTGACTTTGGGTTGACCAAAGCTGAGATGAGAGATGTAGAATAAGGGACCAGACCATTTCTGTGTCTCCTCCTCAGAGAGCTTTCTAGCAACACCTCGATCCAGCATATCCTCCATCTGTCTTTGGTATGTCTCCGCCCACTGCTTATCTTTGATGGGAGTTTGCCCAGTCTTCCTCATTGTAGCTAAGGCTGCATGATAATTGTTTGGTATCGTGGATGGGTCCACCATCCAGGGATAGCTTGTTACCCAGAACTGATTCGCTACATCATCCTCTGAATTCTAAAGGATTAACTTCAACTCTTACTCATCCTTGAACGAGTACGTGTGACCAACAACTGGAAACTTTTCACATCGACAAGTACAACACCTCGGTGTGATTTCTGTTCCTAGGTCTTCACCACAAATGAAGTTTTCCACTTCTCGCTCCATATTTCTTCCAGTGAAGGATTCTACAACATTTGTCTGATTTCTGGAGATGACTTGCTTTTCACTGTTATCAAACATCTCCACTGGGGAAACACAATCTGGCTGAAATTCTGGGTGAGTGTGAAGATATACATGGTACGCTTCATGTTTTTAAATCGCTGAATTGTGAATTGTCTTGGCAAGATTTGAGTCATACTCAGTTTGTTCCACCAGATCAGGATGGGCACCTTGAGGGCAAACTCCAAATTTTTCTCTCAATATACTCAAGTTCTCCCCACACTTCGCCTCTTCATACTTTGGAAATAATCCAAAATAGTCACAACTCAGAAGAATGTCTACCCGGTTAGTTTTCCTTTGCAGTGACTCTGGGTCATAGGTTGGAAACAATTTGGCTAAGGCTGAAGTATTCAACTTGGTTGCAGGACCAGAAATTTTGTCCATACCAAATGTCGTAACACTGACGTTCTTGCCAGAGTATGTTCTCAAAGTGAACTGATATTGTCGAGTGTTGTATGTCTTCTCTACATTCCCCATAGTGGCGACATCAAGTGTGAATTTGTTCAGTTTCTTTGCTTTGATTCTATCATCAGCTTAGTGCTATATATAGGTAGTGTTTAGTCCACCATCACAGAATATAGTGACTGTCTTTCCACTCACACACCTTTGTTTATCGGATTGGGTAAAGGGCAAGGCCAGCTCCTTGTGTCGCATGACTTACTGACTCGGCATGTATATGAAAATCAGTTTTGGGATCCGTTTTAACCTTTTTTGACTTGCACAAGAGAACGTGGTGTTTTTCACCGCCACACAAGGAGCACGGTTTCTTCTTGGAGCACTTCTGTTGTGGGTGATTTCCAAGACAGACAAAGCAGGCATTCATTTGTTTGAGAAGTTCAAACCATCCACCCTCCTTACTGATGGGGAGCTTCTGAAATTCTTTACAGTCACTTGTTATGTGTTTAACTGTATCTCTTCTATTCCAGAAAGCACAGGGATAATACTGTTTTTTGTTCTGGTCAGCTCCAGTTCCAAAATGTGTAGTTCCTTTTCCACGGTCCCCACAATTTAGTACTTTCAAATAACTTTCTCCGTATTGGTTGGTGCTCAGATAAAGAGCCACCGCTTCTCTCTCTCGTTCCAAAAGCTTTATAAAGGGTTTTAATGGCTGGAGCTTCTCTATTTGACTCATATCATGATACTTGCGAATCCACTCTATTCTTAGATGTTTTGGTAGGAGTCCATTAACATTGTACTCGTCTCTCATTGTGAGGGTGTTAAGCTGGTCTAACTCTTCAAGGTGACTGTACGAAGACTCTACAACATCAACAAATTCACCAAGTCCCCAGAAACTGGTTTAAGTTTATACAGATCCCCAAGGGCTGCTTGCCCAGTGGCACTTGCATCATCATAAAAATCCTCCAACTTCTTCCACATGGCATCATACTGGACACAGTTCCACCTACAGATGTTTGACTAAGACTTGAGCTTGTTGCTGTTTGAACTGACCCTTGTACTGATAGTATTTCCATCTTGGATAGGGCAATTAGCTGATGGGGGTACTAAATCAAGTTGAGCAACACTTGTTATCTTTAGCTGCTTTTGCGTGTACGACGGCATTTCTGGCGCCTGCATACACCTCACTCACATTTGCCTGGTAGGCAGTCAAGTCAAGTCCATTGACAATCCCGTGTTCGGCGTGTTCTTCATCTGAAACCAAACTTTCATACTCCTCATCTATTGTACAAAAACTTCAAACGCTTTCTCCAGTTCAACCATCAACACTGTTAAAATATCAATGCCTACACCGCTATCAACAGCTCTTAGTCTACGCGAGGATGTAGTAACTTGCTGCTTGGCCTTAGTCCTTTCCCTCCTTTTTTCTTCTACAGCACCCATAACTTAAAACTTCATTCACAAGACAATGTAAGTACTGATATACTGGAATATGTTGTCTGGGAAGTAGACACATTCAAAACACAATCTTGTCCACAAGAATAAATTAACTCCCAAGATAAAATGCGTAAAAATACATACAAGAAAATCCAATCCACACAGGAATAAATTTATGGAAACACGAATGCAATCCACAGAAGTTAATACATAGGAACGAACTGGCTGGCAATTCGAAACAAGTGCAATGAGTTATCCAAAATAATCGCGCGTGGCCTACGACTCAAGCGTTGTTTTTCTGGTCTTTTCCAGGATTCAGTAAAATGTAGCATAGTTCCAGATTGTATTGAATGTACGTATTGAAGGTCGCAGAACTCAAATAGAATCGGGCGATGGTTGCTAGATAAAAAAAGCGTTTATTCAAAATCTTTATTACGTAAAACCAGCAGTCCTTGAAAACACAGCATACTACTCATCGTAAAGGAAAGATGGATGCCAAAGCAGATTGCAATCATTGATCTCCGAGGCTTTGTGTGGGCAGATTCAACGAATTTCTTTGGCGTGAGCTTGCTAAACTGCAGTTTCCGCAGTGAATCGCGTGTCACGCACGCGCTGGTGCGTTGTGTTCGTATTTTTATGGCATCTCTCTGATGGAATCTTGTACATTCAACGCACTATAGTTAAAAATTTAACAAAAACAATGGAAATAATAATTGACTTTTTCTTTATATGGAAGTAGTGTGACATTATGATTTGACCTCTGGTCGAATACATGAAAAGCCAGCATTGCATTCTTGAGATGAACGTAAAGGACGGTGTGTGCGTCTGTAGATTTATGACATTACGAGAAGAAGACGGTCTTCCTATGCCTTCAAAATGTTTCTCAACCTAACGATATTGCGATAAACGTGTAACTGGTAATATTCATCGGCAGTTTGGTAGGCATTTTTATGTTGAAAACGTTAGATCTTCTAATCCGACTGCATTTGTTTGGTGACTATTATGCATGATCTGCTGCTAATGATGTAACGCGTGTGTAAACGGGCTACGTAAAAAATTTCCGTTATTTAATGACGACGGGTTGCGGAATACTATTGTTGGTAGATGAAGATGTCATAGTAGAGGCAGAAAACACAGAGACCATGCAAGCTATCAAATGGATTCGGTCGAATAGTGAAATCACCATCCCGCCAAAACGTGTCCAAAGCCCGCCAAAAAATACCAAATCTCGCCGCTGCCGCTATTTAACTCTTTATTCAGTCAAGAAAAACTATGTGTTGCAGGATTTTAGAAAATTAGGTTTGGGAGTGGAAATCATTGTTAAGGGATTCTTTTGATCAATAGCTGCTTGCTGGGAAAAAGGTGAGTTAGGCCCTGTGAGTTTCACTTTTGCCATTAGTATTCCGGCGTAACATTCTTGCGAGAGGACTGTATAGAAATTAAGAACAGGGAATTGAACGCCGGAGAAAAGCCTGAAGAGAAATCACTAAGAAGCACTTTAACATATTTCAAGGGTGACTATTTTTTAAAAAAATTAAAGACAAGGCGTGCGGCGAGTTTTATTGTAATGCCATGGTGTTCTTAACTCCTAAGTGCAATTTTTAAAGCAACAGAAACATTAACACTAGGTGGCACGCCCGTGATTCTGTGAGTTTAGACACCACGGTATTATGAAATCATTTGCGTACCAAGTGGAAATTTAAAGGTTAATATGTTTTAGCTTGAGTAAGCGAGTTTTATTGTAATGCCATGGTGTTCTAAACTCCTAAGTACGAGTTTTATCGTGCAACAGAAACACTAGGTGGCCCGCCCGTGATTCTGTGAGTTAGACACCAAGGTATTATGAAATCACTTGCGCAATAACTGGAAAATTAAGGGATTTACAAGCTACAAAAGCTATATGTGTGTCTCACAGTGTTTTTTAATAGGAGATTTTCTTGTAGGAAACCCTCCGCCAGTTATATTTTTCGGCATTTATTAGTGAAATATTTGTTTTCTCGTTACAAATAAAACACGGGTAGCAAAATGCCCATTTCCGGCACTTTTAGTACGTCCTAGAAACTGGAAAGCACAGTACTTAACCGTTTATTCGGAAGAAGGCTTTTCTTTTTCTTTTCGATATTTATTTAGAACAATACTGTTGTGATCCGTTCACGGAGAATCTCTGCTAATGCGGTTACATTTTGAAAACAAGATAAATTTAAGTAAAGTGGCCGAGTTTTCTGAAGTTGCTCTCTTTGAAAAGACATTTGTAATTTTGAAAATAAAATCGATAATGTATTTACGGAGGTTCCAGTTATCGTTTGGGGACAAAAGCATATTTTGATTGTGTTAATTGCTCCTGTCGGAATAAAATGTCATATGAATTAGCAAGATGACGTGCGAGTAATAAGTTCCAGGGGTTATACGTTATACGCTGCTTGTAGATCGATACCTTCCTAATGAAACACGAAAGAAACTTGTACACAAATCCGGACGCAAACATGGCGGAGCCTTTTCTTTTTGAAAAGCACATGTTCGACACGTCTGTGCGAGGGACGATGGGTAAAAAACGACACCCCGCGAACTCTAAACTAATCGCAGCGAATAAACGTTTAAATAAAGCTATATTCCCAGCACAACTTTACTCCATCCCGGCGTACAAAGTGAAGGAAAACGATATCAAAATCACGAAAAATTTTAACTCTCCGAACTTGATTCCCCCCAACGTGAACGAGACAAAAACTCTGCACTGCGCAAACACTCGCGGGAAGACCTTTGAATCCTCCTTGCTGAAGAACAACAGTGCGTTTATCTGGGAATAGAATTAACAGAAAGCTTTTGATGAAATAAAGACCCTCATTCTAAACCCACCACTGCTGGAACACTTTGATGTGGCTGAACAAGTGGATTAGCAGCCTGCCTCATGCAGGGCGGCGCCTCTATACACTTTGCATCGAGAGCACTAACTGGCATTGAAAAATGCTACAACCAAATTTACCAAGAGAATCTAAGTATTGTATTTGGCTCACTAGATTTCATACATTAACACTTATGGTAGGAAAGTGACAGTCTCAATGACCACAAGAACCTCTTGTTGCCGTACTGAAGAAACCTGTTAAAGATAACCTTGCTTGACTCACTATACACTGAATGAATTGTAGAATCTTTGGATATGAAGTCGACTTCAAGTATGTTAAAGGCAAAGATATCCTTATTGCAGATGCCTTGAGCAGATCTCAAGCGACTGACCAAAACCAAAGCAAGATCGAACAAGAGATTGAAATGACCAGACCTTGTTCACGAACATAAGATCAAAGCTTATAACAAGCCACTTAGCGGAAATTTCAGAAGCAACTGCGCAGGATATGTACTGACTTACAGCTTGTAATCCATAAATCGATTTGCTGAGCGTTAAATATGAACTGTCATTTAGCAATGGAATCGTATACAGGAATGATCGCATACAAGTCACAGCGGCACTGCAAAAGACCCTTATTACCAACTAAAATTACACCAAGCGCTTAGGGAAAAGGTTCAACGCTTAGGCGTGCCAGAACATCTTTATGGTGGCGAGGAATGAACAAACAACTGAAGTAGTTCATTGATACATGTGAAGTCTTCAACGCCTTCCAGACTAAGAACAAACAGATCCTGGTTTTAGCTGACTGTTATGCACATGTCATCGCCTTGCCCCAGGAGTAGGACCCCTGCAAACCAGCTACAGGATAGTATGTTCGGGAATCCTTCTTAACCTTTGTCAAATCTAATGATTTCTCGCGACAATTCGCAGGGAAGAAGGCAGCTTGCATGGCCGAGTGGTTAGGCGCTGGACTTGCTGGACTTGCTGGACTCCCGCTCTGACCGCTAGCTGGATTTGTTCACCGGTAGTCACGAGTTCAAATCCTCGACCACGCTTGTAAATAGCCCAGCTGGTTTGCCTCCGGCCTGTTGGGATTCTCAATCTGTTATGTTTGATTTCAATTACTTGGTTCTGTCATTTACTCGGCCCCAATAGCATAAGTGCTATAAATACTGCCAGGGTAAATAAAGAAATTATTATTATTATTATTATTATTATTATTATTATTATTATCATCATCATCATCAACATTAGCGAGAAAACTTGCCCAACATACTTATCAGTTGTGGCACGCGCGCTATGGATAAATGTTAAAGTACTGTTCCTGTTCCTTGTTCCGATAAAATGAAAACTAAGGAAATACGATGAAATAATGTAAATGAATAAACATACATTGAGACTACTATTAACAAGTTCTAGAGAGATCTTGACTCGAATATAATTCCGTTGCTCATTTTCATTAAACTGGGGAGAGTATTATTTGCTGTCCTACTCTGTTACTTCATTTTGCAGAGTTCTCCAATAACATAAACCAAAAAAGGAACGAGATAATTAAGAAGCAGCAAAGAACCAGGAAATTACTGGATGAATTTGTCAGAGAGATTGATGTCAGTTGCCAGCAAGGTAGGGAGAGGAACATCCTCAGAAAACCAAGAGAGCTACTCACTTTGTAAACATTCGCGGCTATTCGCCCTTCGAGGATGGGAGAAAGGCTCAAACAAGTAAAGAGGAGGGTTTGCAAGACAAGTGCTTTTAGTTAATTAATCATTTGCTAACTACCATACAAAGAGAACAGCCTTAGTGAAGTGCCTCTTTGAAAGAGCGCATTTTTAAAACATTTGGTTATCTTTAACATTTTTGCTTATCGTGTAGACTTACGGACAAAAAAAAATGCTAAAATTGAGAAGTTGAAATTATAGCTTACGAAGGAGTATGGCAAGCCAAATGTAGCAATATTCAATTCGTTTAATTTTATATCTAGTTTTGTATTTTGTATTCAACTATGCGTTCAATATTCAACTTGTATTCAACATCTAACGCGTTATTCAATATTCAACTTCCCATTCAACATTCAACTATTCATTTTATATTCAATTCTTCATTCACCCATTCAATTATCTATTCAACAGTTTCAACTATTTATTCAACATTCAACTTTAATTTTTAAAACATTCAACTATTCATTCAACATTCAACTTTTCATTCAACATTCAACTATTCATTCAACTCTTTTGAGCCCTGACTACTTCTGGTCAGTGACGCAGATCATTGCTTGCTAAAAACATGGCGGCGATGCTGGCTAGGGAAATAGGAGCTTATGAAGATGACACAAAGGCTCCAAGGCTCCAAGGCTTCTGACCTTCCAAGGTTTCTTGACTCGGTGCTTCAAAGAACTGACCAGATTTCCCAGACGATGGATGAGGAAATTGTGGAGCAGCATATTGTTGTTGTCGATGAAACGGTGCGTTTGCTTCGTATACTCCGAGACAGCAGTTCGAATATTAATGCCTCTGACAAAGAAACCTTAGATAATCTCTCATCAGCGTTCAGTGATGTCTTATCAGCCCTGCAACAATGTTCAGCCAGAGCAGCCGTGTCTCCCACCACAGTGGCGAAGAATGTTTGTCCCAGGCTTAAAAGTGGTGAACCCGGTAAGCCGGCTTTCGACATATCTGCAGAACTACTTGAAGTCCTTCTGGGTTTAGGATTTACTTACATTAGAATTGCGCAGATGTTGGAAGTATCTCGTTGGACTATATCAAGAAGGATCAAAGATTATGGTTTAGAAGATTTTAGGTCGTTTAGTAAACTGTCTGATGACGAGTTGGAAGACGTAGTGCGAGGTTATATTCGTGAACATGGAGCAACAAGTGGACAAGTGTATATGACGGGATATTTAAGATCCCTGGGATTGAGAGTGCAAAGAAGAAGAGAAAGGGAATGTTTAGCTCGACTGGACCCACAAAACAGGGTTTTGAGGTGGGGAATTCTTGTTTCACGAAGGGTATACCAGGTCTCATGGCCCAATTCATTATGGCACTTAGATGGGCACCATTCTTTAATTCGCTGGAGCTCGTCATTCATGGTTGTGTCGATGGGTTTTCGAGGCGTATAATATATTTAAAGTGTAATTCGAATAACCTGTCATAGACAGTGCTTGACCTGTTTTTGGATGCTGTAAAAAGGGATGGTGACCGTTGGCCATCGAGGATCCGCGTTGATAGGGGAGTTGAGAACGTCCTTGTTTGTGATGCAATGATACAATATCGAGGAGAAGGAAGAGCAAGTTTCATTGCTGGTCCATCAACACACAATCAGAGGATTGAACGCCTCTGGAGAGAAGTCTATAGATGTGTTTGTCATCTGTACTACTATACTTTTTATGCAATGGAATCATCAGGGATTCTTAATGTCGAGGATCCAATTCAGCATTTCGCTTTACACACTATGTTTATCCCTAGAGTAAACAATTCCCTGAGACAATTTTCTGAAGCTTTCAACAATCACGCAGTGAGTACTGAGGGTAATTGGACCCCATATAAAATTTGGATGAATGGCATGATGCATGCCAATAATCCCCTTGCTCATGGGGATGTGGATGGAGAGCCAGATGATATTCAATTCTATGGATATGACCCTGAGGGCCCCTCTCCTTCAGAAGAAGATAACAACGTTGTTGTTGACCCAACTTCTTTAGATAATAGGCATTCAATGGAGTCCTATGTGTTGGATGTTGTTGACCCTCTAACACAGTCCACTCAACTGGGTATCGATCTTTATATTCAAGCCCTAGACCTGGTCAGGGATAGAATGGAATGATATTTAGATCTCCCTGGAACAGAAAATTCCTACCCGGAGGTGAGGAGGACAGACATCCTATTTAAGAATGATCAGGATGCTTGTGGGAAAATTACAACTACACCCCTAAAAATGACCAATGTGGGCATAGCTCAGGCTTTATTTGACCCCAGAGGAGATCATACCCTATCACAGTTTGCCAACATTCCTTTTCTTCACGAGTATTTCTTACAGAGAACCTTGACTTAAACATTTATGAGTGAAAATACTGGCTTCCTATCCTGAACACCCTAAGTTAAAGTAACACAAAAATCTGCAATTCCTATCCCTAAGCGAGATGATGAGCATCCCTATCACTTTTATACAAGATTGTCTCCGCTATCCTCACAGATATTACCACCTAGGGATATTAAATTAGGTTACAACTCGGACCCTGTTCAACAGATCTGGCTAAGTTGTTGAAGCACATTCTTTGTGTAAAAACAGTGTATCTCTTCAGGAAAGCATTTTTAGGAAGATGCCCATTTTTTGACAAAGTAAAAGTTAGACAATTCTGCAAAAAGGCTGGTGCATGTTCAATCGACCTATTCGGCTAACTCAACGTTGTACCCAATTCAAATCTCCCCGGGATAAGATTCTTTGTGTATTGTATTTGCATTATAATGTGGCATTCACATTTAAATGATATGGAAGTTCCTGAGACAAAACGTTTTATTCCCAAAGGGTTTGAATTGGGTACAACATTGAGTTAGCCGAATAGGTCTATTGTTTAAGTTATTACTAATAATATTATAGGACTTAAAGATAATGCTTGTTTAAAGTATCTGGGGTTTCCACTTTCACCAGCCAGCCCATCCCTATAGGCCCCAATCTTTAGTTAATGTCCTGTTGGCTGCAAGCAGTAATAATAAATTATAACACCGGTATTTGTATTTTATAGCTATATGTTGAATGTTTTGATCTGGAAAGACAATTTATTTCAAGATGCTATGCTTTCATATTAATTTAATTCTTTGTATGCTAAACTAGAGACTCAGAACCTTTTTTGGTGGAAGTTTATACAGTCTGAACCGTGAACACCAGAAATATTTCTGGGATGTGATTGTGTTGACAATTGACAAGTTTGTAATTCTTTCACGAGGGCTTTCTGCATGTAGTGTTAACTTTTTAACAACAGTGAAAAGGACATCTCTTCTTGAAAACAAAGCAATTGATACAAAGCCAGGAACATCCCATTAAACTGAAAAAATCTACATGAACAGTAAAGCAACATTCTCGTCAACTGTAAATTTATTTTAAGACAGTAAATTTTTCCTTCAAACTGGAAACAACAATAGTAAAGAAAATAGCAATATGTAGTGCTCTGCTAAATACTAAAGTGTAGCTCATTTTTACTACATTATGATGAACACATGATTTAAGATTTTTAAAAATATTTCTTCCAACCATAGAGTGATACTTTCGTAATGTAATATTGCTTTGGGATAAAGATAAACTATTGTAAACATTAACATAACAAACTTGAATTTCTATTTTTATAAATGAAACATGCGATGATACTCTGGTCAAAAGGGATGAATAAAAATATTATAACATTTCGGTTGAGCAAAATGTGGTAAAAGGAGAATGAAAGTATGATGATGTTATCAGGTATAAATGTTTTTAAGTCAACACTCTTCTTTTTGGTATGGGCTGAAGTGCTGCTACATTTAGAACATGACATGAAGTTTACTAGTGGTAAAAGCTCTTTGCAAACCCATTTTGGCAGACCTGGTAATAAAAACCTTCCCTCATTATGCTATTCCATTCTGTGTTCTTCATTTACAAGAAGCAACACTCAAATTTATAGAGTGATTTTTTTTTTGACAAGAGGAGGCTATCTGCATTTCAAAACAACTTATAAATATAAATCTATGCCTTGTTATAATTAATGTTTTTTTTTGTCTGAAAATGTGAAAGAATTGTCACTATAAACACTAAATTATAAGTCAAAAGTTCTTTACTCCAGCAAAGCCAGGCACAAACAAGTACAGAGAAAGCTGTATCAAATGTAAAGTTTCCTTATGAAAGTCCAAAGAAGGTATTTGTAAAGGCAATATCATAAACTTCAAAGAGTTCCTTCTCAGTTGGTAAAGAACGACTGTTGGAGCCCCTTGGTAAAAACATTGTTTTGCTACAAGTGTTAGCTTTTGGAATGAAAGACCACTTGATCCCTTCATTAGCAGCAACAAATTGAATACTAGGTTGTAGTTCAAAGCCAAGGGGCGGTTCTTCATCCATCCCAGTTGCAAATTGTAGAATGCTCCCAAGAGTGATTCTACCCCTTCTTCCACTTGCAGCTTCTCGCACATACTTTGAGAATGCAGCGTAGGCATCATTTTTATACTTGCGTACATTTGTGCCTTCCTCAGAGAATGATGGCCGGAGGAGTAGGATGAGCTGTCGTCTGGAGAGTTGATTTGATTCATTTGCGCGCAGCAGATAAAGAAAGACTGGTAGACTCGTTGCAACTTCATATAGACCAAGTTTCATGAATCCTTTCCGAAGCTCTGCAATGCATGGCCTTGCAGGATCCTTTGAAAAAATCTCCTGTAAAATTTCTTCAGGAATAAACCGTGGGGTGGGTCCATTCTGAAGAATACTCAAGGCCATAATAGTTCCAGCAAACTCATATTCCTCAGCCATGAGTTCGCGCAGTCCATTTTCAAAGAGCTTTTGCTGTATTTCTTTAAGACAAAACCAAAAAAATTCTTTCCTTGGACCCCCAGCATCATGGGCCTGTTCTCCATAGAATGAAACTTCCAATGTGAGTCTTGGGTTTTGAAGATCTTTGAATTCTTCCATAGCTGATTCCAAAATATTAAATCGGTCTATACTGACAAAGTTAGTTTCACCATCGAGTGGCTGGTCAGGTGAGTTTACATCCAAGGGACGACCCTGCGCAATAAGCTTTTGGGCACACCTTAGCATCTCCACAGGATTACAAACATTGTCTTTCTTACAGATGCTAATGCACTCTGCAACAGCTGCTTCCAGATTGGCAAAGCTAACAACAGTGATTGCATTCAGGTTTTCATTGCTCTGTCCAGTGATCAGAAATGACTGATCACTAAGATCTGCCTGTGGTCCCTCCGTTGGTTGCAGGGTGGATACAGGTCTACTTTGTGTGTGGTTGCTGCTCGCCTGTGAACCTTGTGGGATGGATAACGGGCTACTCTGAGTGTGGATGCTGCCTTCCTGTGGGCGTTGTGGTGGTTGCAAAAAGGATATGGGCATTTTTCTCTCTGTGTGGTTACTGACGTCATTATCTTTTAAGCTACTATTATCTGAGCCTTGATTGTCTAGAAGAAAGCCAAAGCCATGTTTCAGTCTGAGGTAGCCCCTTGACCGGCCAGTGATTTTACCTGTTTGAACGAGTACTCGCGGCAATTCACTGGTTGTGTTATTCTTCTCCTGTTTGCTTTTAGGAACACGAGGTCATTACTTGCTACGGCTGGATATTTCATCTGTATGGCATCAGACAATGCCTTTCTAATGGCTTCTTCATTGTCTTCCGAACTAAGCGTCACAAATCCTCTTAACACAGTACTTTCATCTGTCAACATCCAACTATCAGAGTGAACACTATCTGAGTTCAGCTCTTCATCATCTTCATCATCCAGCCTCAACAACACAAATTCAAATACCTTATTACTTTCAACTTTCGCTCTCTTCGACTTTACAGGAGCAGAGTTACTGGACGACGAAGCTCGAAGTCGTTCTCTACTGTTCAAACGAGAATAGAGTCCTCTGGTTGTGGACTGGCGCATCATTGCACGGGCTCTACTCACGGCTTGTCCCACCGTTGTGATGCTTGTATTTGTGCTTGTGGACGTCTCGCCAACAGTAGCATCAGTGACAACATTTCTACCGCTATTTGCAGCAAGTTCCTGGACTACTTGGCTTGCCTGGCTCAAGCAGTTTGATAAGCGTCTTAAATTTTCCTCCATTGTAGTCTGATAAATCGATCGATTGTAAAACGCGGGAAAGAGATAGTTACCCGGATGCAATTACTGATCAGAAACAGTGAAGGCTCAGGAAAGAAGAACTCGTTCCCAGGGCCCTCTCCTCGAGTGATTAATTGAATTGAAACGAATAGTTGAATGTTGAATGAATTGTTGAATGTTGAATAAATAGTTGAAACTGTTGAATAGATAATTGAATGGGTGAATGAAGAATTGAATATAAAATGAATAGTTGAATGTTGAATGGGAAGTTGAATACTGAATAACGCGTTGAATGTTGAATACAAGTTGAATATTGAACGCATAGTTGAATACAAAATACAAAACTAGATATAAAATTAAACGAATTGAATATTGCTACATTTGGCTTGCCATAAAGGAGCAAGAGGAATAAGTTCCTTCTCAAACAATCCAGTTAAATTAGGGGCCAACCGGATATGTCTTGGTGCAGAAGGGAAAAACGTTATCATCATCAGTCGTAAATTTTTCAAGGGGTTTACTTACGGTACATCAGTGCGAATTTCCGCACTGCATGAAGGATTTTCGAAGTGGAGAAAGCTTCGCTACGATTCGATCAAGGAAGATGAACTTTAATTTATGATTTTCACATTCCCTTGTCGAAATAATTATTGAAACTGGAATGTATGTTAAGAGGATAATAGTCTTAGATTTTCTCCTCGATGTAGGAACTATATAGCATATCTTTGCTTAACTTTGAGTTATTATTATTATTATTATTTGCTCTTTTGTGTTAAATCCGATGATACCTTCGTTTTACATCGCTCGTGGATGTTACAGGTTCTCACCTCGAGGATGAGCCAATTTTAGATGCATTTCTAGCCAATTCGGAAGAACCGTAAATCCATGCCAGTTTGTATGTTTACGCCTCGACTCAACCATTCCTTGTCTAAAGCCTGCTTCGTGGAACCTGGCGTTAAAAATTTTACTTCACTGTTAGGCCCCGTTTTGAAAGAGAAACGTTGTCCCGGAAAAGTGGGTCACTCTTCTAACCAATTCAACTTTAGTGAGCCTTTACGTGAGAAAAAATGTTGACCCCTTTACCCGAGCCAACAATGCATGCGCGCATGCTCTTTTTGTCCAAAACAGAGCTCGCGCATGCTCTGATTGTCTCGCCTTGACCAAGTTGACCCAGCTGGGTGAGCCAATGTGTTTTTATGGAGAAAAGTTGGCCCGGTTAAGAAGATGCCCCATCATCGAAAAAGGATGACCTAACTAGCGTGGCGAGACTAGACTTCTAGCCGAGCCAACTTTTGTTTGTCATGTTAACGGTTTGCCAAGTTTTATAAGGAGATGTAGGAAAAGTTAGCTCGCCCAGGTTAGCTCGGGTAGGCAAGTGAACCTACTACTCGGAACAAGCTTTTTTTTTCCGAATAAGCAGTGCCTTAGGATCGTAAGGAGTACGTTGAATCGAATAAGCATAAAACGGCCAATTTACAACATTAACATTCATTTCTTCTTCTCAACTTAGAAATAACATGCAAGTTTGATGTATCCATGTGCGGTTTTGAGCGAGGCAAAAATAGGACGCTTAACTGGGCTCGACACAGGAGAAGCCCATTTTGGGGTAAAGTTCCTTCCTTTGATCATACCACTGAAAACATGACAGATGAACTCTAGACTAATCAAATTACAACTAGTCAGACTTACTATTCGCAGAGGCAGTTACGGTTATTTAGAGCATCCAGTCATCAAATTGTAGACAAAAAGAATTAAACTGAAATTGTTTTTTTAGGTTCCACATCTAAATCCGAATTTTGCACTATCCTGGGTTATCTTCACCCAGCTTTGAGCAATCCAGCCCAAGTGTATTAAATATAGGCAAGAATATCCACCTTCCTTTCTTATTCTGAAAGCAACGTTAATAATGGAACATTATTCATTCTAGAGTCAACACAGCGCAAAACGATAATAACAGTTAGAAAAATAAAATCAATCAATCAACCGAGCGCTTATTATCAAACTGACACTGGAAATTGAATTACTACACCTGCATGTCGTTTAAATTATATTAGGGATTTTGTTTATTCTCTTTTCAAACCTTATCTCCATAAAGAGCGTTTTCACTCACGTGGTCGTTAGCTGTTCAAATTTATTACAAAAAAAGAATGCGTTTACACCAAAATAGCCGTTGTGACGTCACGTGAAAAGATTTTTATAGCATTAGCGGATCTTGGGCCAGAGAGGGACTCGGGAGAGGCCAGGGCCCCCTCCTTATTTTTTAGGCACGACTGAGGCCCGTAGGGTCAAGAAAAATTATCTTCGAGACCGGCTACCCTTATTCTTAAGGTCTGGTTGAGGCCAAACACCCCCCACTTTCTTGATGATCTGAATCCGCTAATATATAGTAACCCTATTTCCTCCTGCTATACAATATCCAGTTACATGTAGCACTTCCCGTGACTCTCAACTCCAGAAAGGAGCCTTAACACTTAAGTTTTTCTTTTTACAAAAGGCTTTTTAAGCTGATCATTCTACCTCACTTACGTTGCACTTACGAGGTCAGAGAACTGTTTTAGCAGTTGCGTGCAAACTTTGAAAAATCTTATCGTAGGTCTTCTGAAAAACTTTTTTTAGTAAGCACTGGTTATTTTTCTTTCCTGTATCCGTATCTCTTTGTAAGTTATTACACATTCATTTTTACAGTTATCTAGTCAACAAGAACTTACAAAATTGGACGGTCGGTCCTCAACTTAAAACTACGGGTTAGTTATAAGTTGTTACCCTCTATCCATCTTTATCTCTTTAAAGATTATTACATGTACATAACCGTATCCAGTCCACATCAACCAGGTGATGATGCAAAATTGTACAGTCCTCCACTGAAGTTCTTTGGGATTATGTGCCTTGAATTCTATTACTATATGTCTGGTACAACTACTGGAAGCCTGAACGTCACCATAAATGAAATAGTAGTGTTCTCTGCGAGTGGTGATAAAGGAGACATATGGCATAAAGCTAGTATAAATATATCATCTATTGTGGGATTGCATTGGGTAAGCATTAATGAGATCATCAAAACCGTCTGAAAACGGTTTTCTCTAAACGCAGTAGGAAGCCAATGATTTTAAGCTGCATAAGGCAGGAATCTTTGACAACCTTTTGAGAATTCTCGAGAGTCTAAATTCCCCAAATCTTACTTTTTTTACTTCTGTATTTATTCACAAAACGAGTAAAGTATAATACTTCATCTTACCATTAACTATAAATCTCTCGGAAAGGTCGTGAATGCAAGAAAGAAAAATATCACTTGGCGTTTCAAACCGGATGTGCTTGCCGTTTGTTTGTTTGTTTGTTTGTTTTTTGTGAAATTATAATTAAGTCTGTGATTTTTGACTAATTTTTTTCAATAGTTCTTTTAGCTTTCCAGTTAATTTCTGCAATGTTAATTTGTTTTAAAGTCAATTATAAAGGCGACCCTTCCATGTTTTTGACAGGTAACATTTGAAGGAGTAGTGGGAAGCAATATCAATGGTGACATAGCAATTGATGACTTCTTCTTTACAGAGGGGTCTTGTCCTTATGGTAAGTACTTCGATCAAAGGGTGTTCTTACAAGTATTTTGAGAAGGAAAAAGGAGTTCTTCACAACAATGGACAAAAAATATGCATTTAAAGTTTTGAATATATGAAAATCATATATGTGAACTGTGGAGTGAAGAATTAAATGAAGGATGATCATCGCAGTTATATACGCAACTTTTGAAGTTGCGAAAAGAAAACCTGAAAAAAAAATTCAAGCTTGTACGGGATTCGAACCCTTGGCCTCTGAGATATCGGTGCACTGCTCTACCAATTAAGCTAGCAGTTGGCTTGGTAGCTTAATCGGTAGAGCGCTGCACCGGTATCGCTGAGGTCAAGGGTTCGAATCCCGTACAAGCCTGAATTCTTTTTTCATGCTTTCTTTTCGCAACTGCAAAAATTGTTAAGTGCGATGATCATCCTTCATTTAAAAATGTAATTGCTACGAGGTATTTTATACTTGCATTGAAACTATTTACGGTTGTCTTTAAAAGAAGTTGCAGAAGTATTTCGTCGGATGACACTAAGGGTGGATTTATTTGTAATATGCGCGTATAGCGATAACATTCTCCCGTTACAATTTTTCTTTGATTTTAAGCTCAAAACCAATCAAAAGAGAATAATGAATTCTCTATTTTCGAATTCCCCATAATACACTCTGTCTGCCCCCCAAATTTTGCATAACTTAATGTCTTAAAATGCTCTTGGGAAAATGCAATACTCCCAGGAGCATTTAAAAACAATGGTTTATGCAAAATTTGGGGGGCAAACAGAGTGTATTACGGGGAATTCGAAAATAGTCAATAATTGAACGAGTAGATGCGACGGCTACACACGTTGTACGGAATACTCTCTCTCCCTTGCCGTAAAGGCCTCTTTGTGTCGTAGGCCGAAGCTGGGAAAAGGGGAAAATGAAAGTGCGGTGGGGAAGGGGGGAACAGTCTCTCTTCTCATCGTTTACTGCGTGCTTGCTGTTTTTATTATTATTATTATTATTATTATTTTTGACCAGTTGCGTTTCCTTTCTCGTGTCGTGAACAGTGTAGGTGAAACTAAGTTAATGTTAGGTATTCATAGGCCAGAATTCGCTCGTTGGAATTTCATCTTGGCAAATTTCTGTACCTGGTCTTTTCAAGAACAATAATCGGAGAAATCTTGAACTAAAAACTCTTCAAATTCGTGGCGGGCATCGTAGCTATGTAACGTGAAGAATTTTCTGGGAATTAAATGAGGAGAAAAGGAAAATCTTTTAATTGCTCAAGATCTCGAGCCATCATTACAGCCTTCACAGCTGTTGACAATTACTCC